TGCAACATTTACCTGGAGCTAACTCTGCAGATAGCACTACTGGGTAATTTGAAAAGTCATAGTCAATCGATCAATAATATAATAATACTTTTAGCAAAAATGTTTATCTTTAATTTACCATCTGTAGAAACTATGAGAATAGAAAGGTTCAGAAATTTTGTGAAACATCACTGTACAGTTGAAAAATATATGGCAAATAGAAATCCAATATGGATGGTGTTAAGAGATTGATGGGAGGGGTTGAAGGGAGCTGAAGGGTGGGACTAATAACAAGATAACTAATGTAAAATATACTGTGTCCGTAAAATGTATATAGGTTCAGGACTTTTGTGAAACAGCACAGTTAAAAATGTATGGCAAATAGAAATCAAACTGGATGGACATCAGAAATAGATAGGCGAAGTTGAGGGTAGAGGAAGGACAGGACTAAAAACAAATAAAATATAACTATTGTAAAATAGATTGTCCGTAAAATGTATATAGTATGTATAAGCTGGACGTAGAAGCCTAAGCGTTGTTCATTAGCTTACTCCAATTAGGGGAGGGGTGGTAGGGCTAGTGGAAAATAATAAAGGAAAATACATTTTAAAAAGATCTCAGTTCGTTACCTGTATAAAAGACACCTGGGAGCCAGAAATCTTTCTGATTGAGAGGGGGTCAAATACTTATTTCCCTCATTAAAATGCAAATCAATTTATAACATTTTTGATTTTTTTGTTATTTTGTCTCTCGCTGTTCAAATAAACCTACCATTAAAATTATAGACTGATCATGTCTTTGTCAGTGGGCAAACGTACAAAATCAGCAGGGGATCAAATACTTTTTTCCCCTCACTGTAGCCCTTACACAGCCTGGTGGTGTGTTGGGTCATTGTCCTGTTGGAAAAACAAATGATAGTCCCACTAAGTCCAAACCAGATGGGATGGTATATCGCTGCAGAATGCTGCGGTAGCCATGCTGGTTAAGTGTGCCTTGAATTCTAAACAAATCACAGACAGTGTCACCAGCAAAGCACCCCCACACCATAACACCACCTTCATGCTTTACGGTGGTAACTACACATGCAGAGCTCATCCATTCACCCACACCACGTCTCACAAAGACACGGCGGTTGGAACCACAAATCTCTAATTTGGACTCCAGACGAAAGGACACATTTCCACCGCTCTAATGTCCATTGCTCGTGTTTCTTGGCCCAAGCAGGTCTGTTCTTCTTATTGGTGTCCTTTAGTAGTGGTTTCTTTGCAGCAATTCGACCATGAAGGCCTGATTCACACAGTCCCCTCTGAACAGTTGATGTTGACGTGTCTGTGACTTGAACTCTGTGAAGCATTTATTTGGGCTGCAATTTCAGAGGCTGGTAACTCTAATGAACTTATCCTTTGCAGCAGAGGTAACTCTGGGTCTTCCATTCCTGTGGTGGTCCTCGTGAGAGCCAGTTTCATCATAGTGCTTGATGGTTTTTGCGACTGCACTTGAAGAAACTTTCAAAGTTCTTGAAATATTCCGTAATGACTGACCTTCATGTCTTAAAGTAATGATGGACTGTCGTTTCTCTTTGCTTATTTGAGCTGTTCTTGACCGTAATATGGACTTGGTCTTTTACCAAATAGGGCTATTTTCTGTATACCCCCCAAGCTTGTCACAACACAACTGATTGACTCAAACACATTAAGAAGGAAAGAAATTCCATAAATTAACTTTTAACAAAGCACACCTGTTAATTGAAATGCATTCCAGGTGACTACCTCATGAAGCTGGTTGAGAGAATGCCAAGAGTGTGCAAAGCTGTCATCAAGGCAAAGGGTGGTTATTTGAAGAATCTCAAATATAAAATAGATTTTGATTTGTTTAACTCTTTTTTTTAAATTTACTACATGATTCCATATTTGTTATTTCATAGTTTTGACGTCTTCACTATTATTCTACAATGTAAAAAATAGTACAAATAAAGAAAAACCCTTGAATGAGTAGGTTTGTCAATTTTTGACTGGTAGTGTACGTCGTAAGAAGGTTCTAATGATGATCTTAACGCTACGAAGGCTCTGGGAAACGAGGCCTTGGACTATGGTCACAGGGGTCATGAGTTTAGCCTGAAGTCCTTGACGTCAGATTGTGGCAAATCATTAAACCTACATAGACCAGTAGCCTAATACTAGTGTTTTTTCAAGATACTCAGTATTTTGCAATACTCGAAGTAGGTCCTATCATGGCAAAGAAACAAAACATAAAGCAGACTGCATATCCTGAGGGAAAACAGACAATCCTAATGTTGGAAACAAACAGCCTGACTCGGTCACCCTGATTCTGTTGTCACTCTGAGTCACAATGTTTATTTTCTAAGATATAGGCTAGTACGCAATATTTTACATAGGTCTACAGCAACAGGTTTTAAAGGACCATGGAGTTCAGTCTTGCCAAGTGTTTTCTTGTTTTGCTATGAAAAAAAATGAGTATTAGGTGCCTATTTAGTATTGTGACAACACTGCTAAATAATGCAGTAACATGAATGGGCTTAGAATGCTGATAATTGGCCTTTCTCTAATGCCATTTCCTCTGCAGCTTGAGCTTCAGTTTTTGATGTTGGGAGTGTCTGGCTGCGTGTATGACATCCTAGTTTGTTTTTGTAACCTTCAATATGTGAGTGCACACTTAGACACCTAGGCCTATCGCCTATGTCTGTAGATCAGGGTTTCCCAAACTCGTTCCTCGGCACCCCAAGGGGGGCACGTTTTTGTTTTTGCCCTATCACTACACAGCTGATTTAAATAATCAACTAATCATCAAGCTTTGATCAGCTGTGTAGTGTTAGGGTCATTTCCATTTCAATTCAGGATGTAGGCGAAACTGAAATTCCAATCCTAATTACATATTTTCGTAATGGCTAACATGCATAAAGATGGCAGAATACAGATATGAGGGTATTGTGTAAGAACTATCAACATACTTTTTAATATACAGCGTGCAACATGGTTGAAATCGGCACAATCTATACTGAACAAAAATATAAACGCAATATGTAAAGTGTTGGTCCCAGGTTTCATGAGCTGAAATAAAAGATCCCAGAATTGTTCCATACGCACAAAAAGCTTATTTCTCTCAATTTTTGTGCACAAATTTGTTTACTTCCCAGTTAGTGAGCATTTCTCCTTTGCCAATATAAACCATCCACCTGACAGGTGTGGCATATCAAGAAGCTGATTAAACAGCAGTATCATTACACAGGTGCACCTTGTGCTGGGGACAATAAAAGGCCACTAAAATGTGCAGTTTCGTCACTTAAACAATGCCACAAGTTTTGAGGGAGCGTGCAATTGGCATGCTGACTGCAGGAATGTTACACCAGAGCTGTTGCCAGAGAATTGAATGTTCATTTCTCTACCATAAGCCGCTTCCAAGGTTGTTTTAGAGAATTTGGCAGTATGTCCAACTGGCCTCAACCGCAGACCACATGTAACCACGCCAGCCCAGGACCTCCACATCCAGCTTCTTCACCTGCGGAATCGTCTGAGACCAGCCACCCGGACAGCTGATGAAACTGTGGGTTTGCACAACTGAAGAATTTCTGCACAAACTGTCAGAAACCGTCTCGGAAGCTCATCTGCGTGCTTGTCGTCCTCACCAGGGTCTTGACCTGACTGCAGTGCGGCATCGTAACCAACTTAACTGGGCAAATGCTCACCTTCCATGGCCACTGGCACGCTGGAGAAGTGTGCTCTTCATGGATGAATCCCAGTTTCAACTGTACCGCGCATATGGCAGACAGTGTGTATGGGCGAGCGGTTTGCTGATGTCAACTTTGTGAACAGAGTGCCCCATGGTGGCGGTGGGGTTATTGTATGGGCAGGCATCAGCTATGGACAATGAACACAATTGCATTTTATCAATTGCAATTTGAATGCACAGAGATACCATGACGAGATCATGATGCCCATTGTCATGCGATTTCATCCGCTGCCATCACCTCATGTTTCAGCATGATAATGCACAGCCCCATGTCGCAAGGATCTGTACACAATTCCTGGAAGCAGAAAATGTCCCAGTTCTTCCATGGCCTGCATACGCACCACATATGTCACCCATTGAGCGTGTTTGGGAGCTCTGGATCGACGCGTACAACAGCTTGTTCCAGTTCCAGACAATATCCGGCAACTTCGCACAGCCATTGAAGAGGGGTGGGACAACATTCCACAAATCACAATTAACAGCCTGATCAACTCTATGCGAAGGAGATGTTGCGCTGCATGAGGCAAATGGTGGTCACACCAGATTGCTGCTGTCTTGAAGCTAGAATTGGGATCATGTACCAAATCAAATGTTATTTATCAGATGCGCCGAATAAAACAGGTGTAGACCTTACCGTGAAAAGCTTACTTACAAGCCCGTAACCAACAATGCAGTTGAAGAAATAGAGTTAAGAAAATATTTGCTAAATAAACTAAAGTAAAAGTAACACAATAAGATTACATAACAATAACAAGGCTATATACAGGGGGTACCGGTACCGAGTCAATGTGCGGGGGTACAGGTTAGTCGAGGTAATTTGTACATGTAGGTTGGGGTAAAGTGACTATGCATAGATAATAAACAGCGAGTAGCAGCAGTGTAAAAACAAAGGGGGGGGGGGATCAATGTAAATAAGCCGTGTGGCCATTTGATTAATTGTTCAGCAGTCTTATGGCTTGGGGGTAGAAGCTGTTAAGGAGCCTTTTGGACCTAGACTTGGCGCTCCGGTACCGCTTGCCATGCGGTAGCAGAGAGAATGTGCTAATGCAGATACTGAAGTCACAGAGAGCAAGGTACAAAACAGAAAACTTGGCAAACAAATAATTTGTGGTAGGCATGGAGGTCGCCATCTTTATGCACGTCCGCTAGGAACATTTGAGTTTCAGTTTACTTCCTGAATTGAAATGGAATTCATTGTGACCCTGATGTGTTGGCTACATTTCAATGCAGACGAACTTAAGCTCATACCCTCATACCGGTATGTGTGTTTTCAGGCGCTGGCCATGCCGTCCAGTGTGCGGGCCGGGAGCCTGAAGGACCCGGAGGTAGCTGAGCTCTTCTACAGAGATGACCCTGAGAAGATGTTCACCGACTTGCGGGAGATCGGCCATGGCAGCTTCGGAGCTGTCTACTTCGTAAGAAGGGGGGGGGGGGGGGGGGGGGGGGGGGGGTCACTTGGTGCTGCATACATTTTTACTAAACACTCCTAAATAGTATCCAGTACAGTATTTGGGACATAGTAAACACTTGTAGTATGGGAATTCAGGCACAGCTTCAGTGATGGATACATGGGAACTGGGAAGAGAAATGGAATGGGTATTGAAAGGGTGTTGATAAGATGATGGGTGAAATGCTAGGCTAGGTTAAAGACAAGTGAAGGATGAAAGGTAGGAGGCGGGTAGGTACGGGTAAAAGGTCAAAAGGTAGCACAGGGCAAGAGATATCGGTGAAGGATGAAATGTCCTTTTAAATAGAGGGTGAAAAAGTGGCTAGTGAAAGAGGTGAAGCTTTAGTTTGTCAATTTGTGTGTGTGCGCTTGACGATATGTGTGCGGCCAGTGGCCCTTGTTAGCATGATTTAGAAATTAGAATAGGTTTGTGAATATCTTTTTTATTTATTTTTAACCCTTCCTTGTATTCCTTACATTAGGCACATGACATCCGCACCAATGAAGTGGTGGCAATTAAGAAAATGTCCTACGGTGGCAAGCAGTCCAATGAGGTAAGAACACAGGTCGAGCAATGGTCAAATGTTCCTCAGTTCACCACATTTGACATCTGTTGCAGTGGTGTAGGCCATGTTTTTAATGTTTTAAAGCGCCCTCTTTCTCTCTTATGAAGAAATGGCAGGATATCATCAAAGAAGTAAAGTTTCTCCAGAAACTGCACCACCCCAACACCGTGGAGTACAGAGGTTGCTACCTGAGAGAGCACACAGCATGGGTAAGTGTTGAAGCACTTCTTTAACTCCAACATGGTACCCTATTTGGGGCCCATAGGGCTCTGGTCAAAAGTAGTGCACTATATAGGGAATATGGTGCCATTTGGGACTGACACATGGACTGAGGGTTGCTGACAAATAAACTTTCACTCGTTGGTTATTAATGTTTTCAGTCAGCCCCTATTCACTCCCTATCCCTTCCCCTTGGCCCTAACCTTTTAGTGTTGGCAGATCTGAAGGCTCTGGATAGGTATACACAGTGTAGTGAAGGAGCTTCCATCATATTCCATCCACCTTAGAAATGCAAACGTTGAAGTGGCCAATGGGAAGGTGTAGGGAATACATTTTGACCGGCTCTCCGTCACGTTGCCCCTCTGGCCGCTTTGCTCCGTATGTTAACCTCCATCTCTCTCTCTCCTTCATTCTTTTAGCTGGTGATGGAGTATTGTTTGGGTTCGGCCTCCGACTTACTGGAAGGTGAGTAGAAAACCAGATGGTTTAAGTTCAAGTTTTATGTTCAAACAAGTACTTTATGTAATGTGATGTTTTTACATGGAGGGACACTGGGGTGGTGGAAGTAAACCATGATTGTGTTCATTAGGCACGAAATGGTAGAAAACGAACTGAAACGGGGAGGGACAACCTGGAGTTGTTGTCAAATAAGAAATGCTTATTTTCGTTCTGTTGCAAAATGTTTTCTGTTGTGTGCCCTAATGAACACGACCAAGACTTCAAAGAATGAGTGGAATGAGTCCATTTTGTCTCCCTCTGTGTGCGTAGTCCACAAGAAGCCCCTCCAGGAACAGGAGATAGCAGCCATCACCCACGGTGCATTGCAGGGCCTGGTGTACCTTCATTCTCACAACATGATTCACAGGTGAGTAAACCTCTCTCCTCCCCCACACGATGGGACGGGAAGGGAAAAAAAGTGAAAGAGAGAAAGAATGGAATGTAATCCAAACATAAGCTCTCATTGTTGAAGGGGAGGTGTGTGTCATGGATGTTTTAACCCTCTTTTTAACTTCTCTCCCTTTCTATCTTGGTCTCTCTCTGTCTGTATGTCTCATTCTCTTTCTCTCTCCCTTTCTTTCAATTTATCTCTTGCTCTCTCTTTCCCTCCCTCTCTCGTTCCCTCCCTTCCCCGCTCTTTTTTTTTTCTCTCGCTCTCATTCTCTCTCTACCCCACCTCACTCTCTTTCTATCTCCCCCTCTCTTTCCAATTAAAAAGGCTTTTTTGGCATAGAAAGTGTTACCACATACATTGCCAAAGAAAACATATAATATTGACTTTAAAAAAATATATATATATATATGACTTAATATTATAAGAAACAGAATATTCAATAAAAAATAATGGTGTCTCTCCACCCCCTGCTCTCTCTCAGGGATGTGAAGGCAGGTAACATCTTGCTGACTGAGCCTGGCCAGGTGAAACTGGGTGATTTTGGCTCTGCCTCCATCATTGCCCCGGCCAACTCGTTCGTGGGCACGCCCTACTGGTGAGACACTGGTCTCCTCTGTTGTTTCTATGGACATTATTGTAAGATTGCCAACTCTATTGATGACAATAGGGATATGATCCAGAAGTAGGACAAAATACCAAGGTTGTGTCCCAGATGGCACCCTATTCCCTATATAGTGCCACTACCACAGAGGCCCTGGTCAGAAGTAGTGCACTATATAGGGAATAGGGCGTCGGTCGGATGGGGGGGCGTGGGGATCCCCCCCCCCCCCCCCCTTAAATATATACAGTTGAAGTCGGAAGTTTACATACACTTAGGTTGGAGTCATTAAAACTTGTTTTTCAACTTCTCCACAAATTTCTTGTTAACAAACTATAGTTTTGGCAAGTCGGTTAGGACATCTACTTTGCATGACACAAGTCATTTTTCCAACAATTGTTTACAGACAGATTATTTCACTTATAATTCACTGTATCACAATTCCAGTGGGTCAGAAGTTGACTGTGCCTTTAAACAGCTTGGATAATTCCAGAAAATGATGTCATGGCTTTAGAAGCTTATGGTAGGCTAATTTACATCATTTGAGTCAATTGGAGGTGTACCTGTGGATGTATTTCAAGGCCTACCTTCAAACTCAGTGCCTCTTCGCTTGACATCATGGGAAAATCAAAAGAAATCAGCCAAGACCTCAGAAAAAAAATGGTAGACTTCCACAAGTCTGGTTCATCCTTGGGAGCAATTTCCAAACGCCTGAAGGTACCACGTTCATCTGTACAAACAATAGTATGCAAGTATAAACACCATGGGACCACGCAGCCGTCATACCGCTCAGGAAGGAGACGCGTTCTGTCTCCTAGAGATGAATGTACTTTGGTGCGAAAAGTGCAAATCAATCCCAGAACAACAGCAAAGGACCTTGTGAAGATGCTGGAGGAAACAGGTACAAAAGTATCTATATCCACAGTAAAACGAGTCCTATATCGACATAACCTGAAAGGCCGCTCAGCAAGGAAGAAACCACTGCTCCAAAACCGCCATAAAAAAGCCAGACTACGGTTTGCAACTGCACATGGGAACAAAGATTGTACTTTTTGGAGAAATGTCCTCTGGTCTGATAAAACAAAAATAGAACTGTTTGGCAATAATGACCATCATTATGTTTGGAGGAAAAAGTGGGTTGCTTGCTAGCCGAAGAACACCATCCCAACCGTGAAGCACGGATGTGGCAGCATCATGCTGTGGGGGTGCTTTACTGCAGGAGGGACTGGTGCACTTCACAAAATAGATGGCATCATGAGGAAGGAAAATGTTGTGGATATATTGAAGCAACATCTCAAGACATCAGTCAGGAAGTTAAAGCTTGGTCGCAAATGGGTCTTCCAAATGGACAATGACCCCAAGCATACTTCCAAAGTTGTGGCAAAATGGCTTAAGCACAACAAAGTCAAGCTATTGGAGTGGCCATCACAAAGCCTTGACCTCAATCCTATAGAACATTTGTGGGCAGAACTGAAAAAGTGTGTACGAGCAAGGAGGCCTACAAACCTGACTCAGTTACACCAGCTCTGTCAGGAGGAATGGGCCAAAATTCACCCAACTTATTGTGGGAAGCTTGTGGAAGGCTACCCGAAATGTTTGACCCAAGTTAAACCATTTAAAGGCAATGCTACCAAATACTAATTGAGTGTATGTAAACTTCTGACCCACTGGGAATGTGATGGAATAACTAAAAGCTGAAATAAATCATTCTCTCTAATATTATTCTGACATTGCACATTCTTAAAATAAAGTGGTGATCCTAACTGACCTTTTTAAATGTATTTGGCTAAGGTGTATGTAAACTTACGACTTCAACTGTATATACACTACTGGTCAAAGGTTTTAGAACACATACTCATTCAAGGGTTTTTCTTTATTTTTACTATTTTCTACATTGTAGAATAATAGTGAAGACATCAAAACTATGAAACAACACATATGGAATCATGTAGTAACCAAAAAAGTGTTAAACAAATCAAAACATATTTTATATTTGCGATTCTTCAAAGTAGCCACCCTTTGCCTTGATGACAGCTTTGCACACTCTTGGCATTCTCTCAACCAGCTTCACCTGGAATGCTTTTCCAACAGTCTTGAAGGAGTTCCCACATATGCTAAGCATTTGTTGGCTGCTTTTCCTTCACTCTGCAGTCCCACTCATCCCAAACCATCTCAATTTGGTTGAGGTCGGGAGATTGTGGAGGCCAGGTCATCTGATGCAGCACGCCATCACTCTCCTTCTTAGCCCATATATTTTGTTGTAATGTTTCAGTCACTCAAATATCACATGAACACACATTAGACATGGCAAAATATATAGAATTATAAGAAAATTAGCTTTACAACTGCAACATTTTCTCTGCACCCCATGACAAAATGTGTAGAATTGCAGGAAATAAGCTTTAAACCCGCAAAATGTTCTCTTCACCAGAGGGATGTGAACAGTTTGTGTCAAGAACAGTTCTTGTTATCATAGAAATAGACATGGCGTGCAGGGGGGTGCGGTATGTTCCCCAATGCTGGAAAGGGGGTTTGAGTGAAAAAAATGTGGGAACCCCATGGTATAGGATGCGTTCACAAATTGCACTCTATTCCCTATATAGTGCACTACTTTCTACCAGTGCCCATAGGGCTCTGGTCAAAAGTAGACCACTATGTTGGGAATAAGGTGCCATTTGGGATACAGAAATAGTTGTCTCACACTGGCTCCGATGTGTTTTACCTCCGTACAGGATGGCACCTGAGGTGATCCTGGCCATGGACGAGGGCCAGTACGACGGCAAGGTAGATGTGTGGTCACTGGGCATTACCGCCATAGAGCTGGGTAAGCTAAGCACAGCCCATATAATACACATGTTCACATGCATACAAGCTTTTAAGGTGTATGTATGCCTAGTCTGATATAAAAAAAAATTCCTCACTACTATTAGTTTTCTTGCCAATACTTTATCTGTGCTTGATTGAGCTTGCCTGGCACAATGGAACAAATTGCGTAGTCCATGAAGTGCGAAACCCAGACTTTTGGCACTTTGAGCGTTTGATTGTGTTTGCCCAAAGTATTTATGTAAAATACCGTCTCATAGTTGTTTTAACTGGGTTTTCTGTGTGATCGGTCCAGAGGGGTTCCAATTTATGCGGTAGCGAGGTGTGGTGTAAACAGAGGAAGAGTCAGCTTTTTATGTTGCAAAACTCTAAACGATATACACTAAATATACAAAAGTATGTGGACACCCCTTCAAATTTGGCTATTTGTAAAAAATCGAGCACACCGCCATGCAATCTCCATAGACAAATATTGTCAGTAGAATGGCTGACTAGCTCAGTGACTTTCAACATGGCATGTCATAGGATTAAAAATAAAATAAAAAATAAAATAAAAATTGGATGACACCTTTCTAACAAGTCAGTTCGTCAAGTTTGTGCCATGCTAGAGCTGCCCCGGTCAACGGTAAGTGCTGTTATTCTGAAGTGGAAACGTCTAGGAGCAACAACGGCTCAGCCGCGAAGTGGTAGGCCACACAAGGTCACAGAACATGACCGCAGAGTGCTGAAGCGCGTAAAAATTATCTGTCCTCGGTTGCAACACTCACTACCGAGTTCCAAACTGCCTCTGGAAGCAACGTCAGCACAATAACTGTTCGTGGGGAGCTTCATGAAATGGGATTCAATGGCCGAGCAGCCGCACACAAGCCTACGATCACTATGTGCAATGCCAAGCGTCGGCTGGAGTGGTGTAAAGCTCGCCGCAATTGGACTCTGGAGCAGTGGAAATGCGTTCTCTTGAGTGATGAATCATGCTTCACCATCTGGCAGTCCGACGGACAAATCTGGGTTTGGCGGATGCCAGGAGAACGCTACCTGCCCCAATGCATAGTGCCAACTGTAAAGTGTGGTGGATGAGGAATAATGGTCTGGGGCTGTTATTCATGGTTCGGGCTAGGCCCCTTACAATTACATTCTAGACGTTTCTGTGCTTCCAACTTTGTGGCAACAGTTTGGGAAGGCCCTTTCCTGTTCCAGCATGACAATGCCCCCGTGCACAAAGCGAGGTCCATACAGAAATTGTTTGTCGAGATTGGTGTGGAAGAACTTGACTGGCCTGCACAGAGCCCTGACCTCAACCCCATCGAACTCCTTTGGGAGTAATTGGAATGTCGACTGCGAGCCAGGCCAAATCGCCCAACATCAGTGCCCGACCTCACTTATGCTCTTGTGGCTGAATGGAAGCAAGTCCCCGCAGCGATGTTCCAACATCTAGTGGAAAGCCTTCCTAGAAGAGTGGAGGCTGTTATAGCAGCAAGGGGGGGACCAACTCCATATTAATGCCCATGATTTTAGAATGAGATGTTCGACGAGCAGGTGTTCACATTCTTTTGGTCATGTAGTGTATTTAATGTTCACAGAATGGCACTCGGCCGGTTCAAGAAAGGAGAAACAAAATCCAAGCCCGGTTCAGAGCACTTCACTTACAAACTAAAGATCCTTTCGATAATCACCAAATTAAATAGTATCTTTTGTGGCGTAACTTGGCTTTGGCCCGCAGCTATGGGAATCACTCACGCAAGTTCTTCCTCTTTTAAGCTGTTTGTCTTTCTCTCAATGTCCTCTTCTGTCCTTTTATCCTCTCTTCGTTCTATATTTCTCCTCATTTCTTTGTCCGTTCCTTTCTCCCCCCGCGTCTCTATTGTTCTCCTCTTTCTCGTGCGTAATTGCCCCGTCCCTTCACCTGCGCCGGTAATAAAGGGTGTGACGTCGGCGGGGAATCCCGGAGTGGCCCCGCCCTTCTGACTCCCCTTGGCCCCCACACCTCTGGATGGTTCAAACACCCCCGTCCTCAGAATCAACCCAGCAGGTCGAGCACCAGCCGCTACGAGGGCGTCGCGGCAGGATAGTGCGTCTGCGTTTCTGTGATTGACCCAGGATCTGTGGATGATAGAGAAGTTAAAGGTTGCAACCTGAAGAACCATCTAGTTACCCTACTGTTATTCTCTTTTTTTTTCTCGCCATCCAGGTGAGTGGTGCATGATCAGTCACAAGAGTGAATTTTCTTCCTAATAGATATCTAAGATAGTTGAGTGCCCATTTTATAGCCAGCCCCTCTTGTTCAACCGTGGCATATTTATTTTCCCTCTCTGAGCTTACGGCTGATTTAGGCTATGGGGTGTTCGCCCTCTCCCGACATCAGAGGCGTCCATCTGTACAATGAAGTCTCTGTCAAAGTCTGCCAATAGCCTTTCGTGAGATCTAGGGTAGTTATGTAGCTCGCCTTTCCCAATCGCTCTATCAGCTCATCTACCCTGGGCATTGGGTATGCGTCAAATTTGGAGATGTCCTTCAGGCCTCGGAAGTCGTTACAGAATCTCACCGTTCCGTCTGGCTTCGGAACGAGAACTATCGGACTTGACCAGGCACTGTGAGACGCATCGATAACTTCCCAACCCAGCATCTCTCTCACCCCCTCTCTGACTATTTTTCGTCGCGTAGCAGGGATTCTGTAAGCCCTTAAGTTCACTCTCTTGCCTGGCTCTGTGTATATATGATGCTGGATGAGATCTATATTCCCTGGGAGGGCTGAGAATACCTCCCGGTGTCGGTCCACTAGGGCCCGTAGGTCCTGCTCTTGCTGGTGCGTCAGCGACTTCCCCACCTGCACCTCTAGCGGGGATTGATCTTGTTGGGCTGTGGGAAGGGAGCAGAATATAACATCTCCATTTCTCTCGTGGTACTCCCTTCATAAGGTTGATGTGGTATAGCTGTTCAGGTTTTCTACTACCTGGCTGCCTAACTCTGTAGTTTACAGGGGATACTTTTGCTATTACTTCGTACGGACCCCTCCATTGCGCTAAGAACCTGTGTTCAGATGTCAGAATTAAAAGGAGTACCTTATCTCCTACATTAAAAATTCAGGTCTGGGCAGTCCTGTTGTAGGCTGGCTGTTGCGCTTGCTGCTCGCTCTCAATGTGTTCCTTCTCTATTGGCCACACTGCGGCCATCCGTTCTCGCATTAGGGCGGCATGTTCAGTCAGAGTTCTGTGGGGACACAGCTGGGCTTCCCATGCCTCCTTGGTGAGGTCTAGGATCCCTCGGCACGGCCTCCCATATAACAGTTTGAACGGGGAGAAGCACGTTGACGACTGGGGCATCTCCCTAAGAGCAAATAGCAAGTGAGGTAATAACATGTCTCAGTTCCTCCCGTCCTGTTCCACAACTTTTTTTAGCATAGACTTTACTGTTTTATTCAAGCGTTTGCATAAACCATCTGAGGATGATATACGCTCGTGCGTATCTGTTTAACCTGGTACAAGGCACACAAGTCTTTCGTTATGCGGGACATAAACGGGTCCCCTGGTCGGTCTAAATAGAGGAGAGTAGGCTGACTCTGGAAAACATCTAACTCTTTAGCAATACCTTTAGTGGATAAATTACGCTTGGGAATGGCTTCAGGGTAGAGTGTGGCATAATCGATTACCACCTGTATATATTCGTGCCCCCGGACTGATTTGTGAATAGGACCCACCAGATCATAGCTATCCGCTCTAAGGGCGTTTCAACGATGGGGAGGGGTATGAGCGGATTTCTGTTATTGACTTTGGGGACATTCTTTTGGTACTGTTCACATGACTTACAGTACTTCTCTACATCACTTGTAATGTGGGGCCAGTAGAATCTACTCATGATGCGCTCCTTAGTTTTGTCTACTGCCAAGTGGCCTCCCAACACATGTGAATGCGCCAGGTAAAGTACCGTGTCTCTATATGCTCTAGGCACCATTAAGAGCTCTAGCAATTCTGTCCATCACCAGTGTTTCGATGACTGCCCTGGATCCTTTTTCTATTTCAAGCCAACCGCTGGTCAGCCGTATTAGTTGGTATATTTGGGCTCTCACTGACTCGTTGCTATCGAAGGTCCACGCGTGGAAACTCTTGGCCTGTGCCCGTGGATTCAGACAGTAACGGGATAAGATTTCGGCCTTTAATTTCTTTTAGTCCACTGCTTCTGCAGAATCCAGGTCGAAATATGCAGCCTGCGCACGCCCGGACAGAAAGGGGGCTTGCATCCCTGCCCACCGCTCCGGGGCCCATAGTTCTCTTACTGCTGACCTCTCGAATGAAAGCAGATAGACCTCATTGTCATCCTGTTCTTGTAGCCTAGGTATATGGGTCCTCACTCCAGGCTTACTGTCCTCCCTGCCTGAGCCAATCTGGCCACTTAAATTCTCAAGAGGTCTGTGCTTTCCTTTTGCGCAATGGCGCACGTAGCCAACTGTTTTAACAATGCGGCGTCCATCCTTAATATAACATAGTAACTCTGTCACCACTTCTAGTGCCCGCATTCTCCACCACTGTGATCAGTCCAGAGGGGTTCTGATCTATACAGTAGCGAGGGGTGGTGTAAACCGAGGAAGTCTGCTTTTAAAGTTGCAAAATCAAAATTATATATTTAATGTTCACGGAATGGCACTCCTTATTTCTTTGTCCGTTCCTTCCCCCCCATATCTCCATTGTTGTCCTCTATTTCTTGTGCGTAATTGCCCCCGTCCCTTCACCTATGCCGGTAATAAGGGGTTTGTTCAGGGAATCCTGTAATGTCGGCGGGGATTCCCGGAGTGGCCCCGCCCCTCTGAATGGTGCACACCTGTATTTTATGTTACAAATCTGGCCTAGAGTGTGTTTTGATGTTTTATGTCTCCTGAACTTTGTCTCTGTCTCTCTCTCTATGCAGCGGAGAGGAAGCCGCCTCTGTTCAACATGAATGCTATGAGTGCCTTATACCACATCGCCCAGAACGAGAGTCCCGTTCTGCAGTCCAATCACTGGTGAGCAACTGACTGAGCACAGAGGAGGGTCTTGTGCCCTCTTTTTGTTTGGTGTCAATGTACTTTCTGGGTAGCCTGGTCCCAGATCTGTTTGTGCTGTATGGCCTCCTCCTATGACAATGATCTTAGGACTTGGCTATGCAGCACAAACAGATCTGTGACCAGGCTACTTTCTGAGGACAATATGAGCCATTGGTGTACATCAGGGGTGTCATACATACAGCCTGCTGGCAAAATGAGTTTGACACTCCTGGTGTAGATGAGTACCGTTTTATAGTGTGACTGTGAATAGTTTTTCATTGTTTGGTCTCATTGTCCTTTCCAGGTCTGATTATTTCCATAACTTTGTGGACTCGTGTCTGCAGAAGATCCACCAGGACAGACCTACCTCTGACGTGCTGCTGAAGGTAAACGTTATCTCTCGGTCTACGTTTCCTCTTTAAAAATAAAGTAATTCAAAGTTTAAGAAAGTCTGAAGAAGGCACTACACAAACAGGTGTGTAGTGCCTCATGTAGAAACCAAGGAATGGTCATGAACTCTTTACCCATTAATAATATCAGAGGTGGCCAAAAGAGGTGCTGTGATTCCTTATTCTCATAATGACAAAGAAGCATCTCTTCAATGGCTCCAGTTTGAAGTGAACCTTAACTCGCCAACAGCTCCAAGTGGCACCATCAGGTAGAAATGACGTCCTTACAACCAGAATTGGTTGAACGTTATAATCTGTCATTGCAACCAGTTTTGCCCACTAGGCTAATGGTTGATACATTAAACCAACAAATATGGCATTGATTGACATGACGTCATTACAACCAGAAACTATGTGAAATTATGTAATTCTAACATCATTCCGACCAGTTTTGCCTGCTGGAATAACCTTAAAATCCATTCTCCCTTTCCCTCAGCACAATTTCCTATGCAGAGAGCGTCCCCACACGGTGGTGATGGACCTGATAGCTCGCACCAAAGACGCGGTGCGGGAGCTGGACAACCTGCAGTACCGCAAAATGAAGAAGATCCTTTTCCACGAGGCCCTCAACGGGCCCCAGCCCGAGGGAGGGGAGGAGGAGGAGGTATGAGGAGGGAGGGAGGTGGTAAGGAGGGAGGGGACAGGGGGGGTGATGAGGGAGGGGGGGGAGGTGGTAAGGGGGGGTGATGAGGAAGATGGTGGTAAGGAGGGAGGGGTGAAGGGGGGTGTAATGAGGGAGATGGTAGGGAGGGGAGAAGGGGGGGGTGATGAGGGAGGTGGTGGTAAGGAGGTGGGGGTGAAGGGGGAGGGGAGGAGGTGGTAAGGAGGGGAGGGGGGGTGATGAGGGAGGTGGTGGTAAGGAGGGTGGGAGGGGTGAAGGGGGGGGTGAAAGAGGTGGTGATAAGGAGGGAGGGGTGAAGGGGGGTGTGATGAGGAGATGGTAAGGAGGGAGGGGAGAAGGGGGGGGGGGCAGGAGGAGGTGGTAAGCAGGTAGAGGGGGGTTGATGAGGGCGGGAGGAGGTGGTAGAAAGAAGGGAGGAGGAGAGAAATGGCATAAAAAAAGGGAGGTAACAAGGGAGAGGGGGAGAAAGTGAACTTGGAGGAGAGGCGGTAGAGAGGGATGAACAAGTGAGAGACTATAGCGGTGGGGGAGAGAGAAAGCGGGGAGGACATGGAGATGTTACATAGAGGGAGAAAATGAGCTGGTAGTAGGGAGAGAGGAGGAGGAAGGAGGAGAGTAGTAACAGTTGGCCACTTAGCCATGGAGCCGAGGATGATATAGGACCAGAACCTAAATAAAAAAGGAGGATGAGTGGAGTGAGGAGGGGGAAGACACAGACTACAGAACGCACTGGTCTTAATTTAGAGGAAGAGGATTGGCATTAGCATCCATCCTGTCTTTGCATAGCATACGTCACCACAGTATAGTCCAACATTGTGTGCGTCGACACATTGAATGACCTCTCATCCCCAATACTAATAACTTTGATCTCTTCAGGAGTTTTTAAACTTTGTTTCCATTGAACATGCCATACAAATAAAGGCATTTTAATTAATTATATGAAGAGTGCCTTGGTCCTCCTTTCTTTTTGATGACCCTTCAGGATCTAATTGTGTTCCCCCAGGGTCTTGCATAGGAAACACAGGAGGGGGTGTGTGTGTGTGTGTGTGTGTACATACAAGGTCTGTGTTTTGGTGTTGGTGTGTATAGGTGTATGTAGGCTAGCTATGCATTTGAGTGCGTATGTGTGCGTATGTCATCACCACTTCTTCTAACCACCATCCCTCTGCCTCTGTCTCCAGGACGTGGAGCAGTACATGCTGCGGACGGGTACAGTCAACAGCATGGAGAGCTCCCATTCGCTGCCTTCCATGTCCATCAGCGCAAGCTCCCAGAGCAGCTCGGTCAACAGCCTGGCGGACGGTTCGGACGACAGCGGCGAGATGGCCATGATGCAGGAGGGCGAGCAAACAGTCACCTCCAACAGCTCAGTCCTGCACAAGCCCCTGGTCAGTTGGGACTTACCTTTTAGACATTAGTCACAGCAGTGTTTCCTTTAGACTATTTTTCCCAAGGCGGGGGGCATAAGATAAGAACCCCCCCAATTTGCCCAAAGCGTCACCCCAAGTCCTATTTCACAATTTTGTCACAGTATGTGACAAAATTGCTGTATGCTGTATGAGGGGGATAAACGGTTACTACACTGAACAAAAATATAAACGCAACATGTAAGGTGTCCATCAGGACAAAAAACGTATTTCTCTCAAATTCATTACACAGGTGCACCTTGTGCCGGGGACAATAAAAGGCCACTCTAAAATGTGCAGTTTTGTCACACAACCCAATGCCACAGATGTCTCAAGATGAGGGAGCGTGCAATTGGCATGCTGACTGCAGGAATGTCCACCAGAGCTGTTGAATGTTAATTTCTCTACTATAAGCCGGCTTCAACGTCATTTTAGAGAATTTGGCAGTACGTCCAACTGGCCTCACAACTGCAGACAACGTGTAACCACGCCAGCCCAGGACCTCCACATCCGGCTTCTTCACCAGCGGGATCGTTTGAGACCAGCCACCTGGACAGCTAATGAAACTGTGGGTTTGCGCAATTAAATAGGTTTTGCACAAACTGTCAGAAACCGTCTCAGGGAAGCTTATTGCGTGCTCGTTGTCCTCACCAGGATCTTGACCTGACTGCAGTTCGCTGCATGAGGCAAATGGTGGTCACACCAGATACTGACTGGTTTTCTGATCCACGCCCCTTTTTGTTGCTCTGATTTTTTAAAAAACTGTAAATTTAAGGTTTTACCTCAATTTAGTTTACCACAGAAATGGCTCACTAGTGGCTAACTAGTTACTATTCCCCCACCCCCAGATCGATTCCACAATGCAACATATGATTTACACAGCAACGATTTGTCTCTCTCTGTACTTCAGAGCCATGACAACATCTATGACGACCCCTACCAGCCCGAGCTGGACGCCCAGCAGCAGCCCCCGTCGTCACGGGGTGAGGGAAGAGAAGGAGGCGGCGGCGGGGGAGGAATTGGCAGGCGGAGGGGACACCGCAGCCGAGACCACTTTGCCACCATCCGGACAGCATCGCTGGTGACCCGGCAGATCCAGGAGCACGAGCAGGGGTCGGCGCTGAGGGAGCAGATGTCCGGGTAGGAGAGCTTTTATGGAACGACCAATACAAAGAGCCCGTTTGGAATTAGAAGGCAAAGGATTGGGTAGTCCATAGAAATCAAGATAAGTACACTCCCCTCAATATGTATTTGGACAGTGAAGCTAAAATGTACAATTTGGCTCTATACTTCAGTATTGTAGATATGCTGTACCGTCATCTAATATGTAACATTCTATCTTCTTTTATTTGAGTGTATTTTCATACATATCTGTTTTACCGTTTAGAAATGAAAGCACTTTATGTATCTAGTCCCCCTCATTTTGGAGAAGTGATAAGTATTTGGACAAATTCCCTTATAGTGTATAAAAGTAGTCAAAAGTTTAGTATTTGGTCCCATATTCCTTGCACGCAATGACTCTACAAACTTGTTGGATGCATTTGCAGTTTGTTTTGGATTATGTTTTGCCCAATAGGAACTAAATGGTGAATAATGTCTTGTGCCATTTTGGAAGAATAGAAGATGTTTCTGAACACTTCTACATTCATGTGGATGTTACCATGATTATGGGTAAACATGAATGAATTGTGAATAATGCTGAGTGAGAAGGTTACAGATGCACAAAGGTCATTCCCCCCCAAAATACTAACCTCAACTGTTATTGGTAATGGTGAGAGGTTAGCATGTTTTGTTGTAGCCTCTGTAACCCCACTCACTCATTATTATTCATGATTCATTCATGGTTTTTCTTAATCATGGCATTATCAGGATTAATTTAGAAGTGTTCAAAAACGTCTTATCTACTCACTTTAAAAAATATTACTCCAGTTATCATTCACCATTCAGTTAATATTGGGCAAAACATAACCCAAAACACAACCAAAACAAACTGCAAATTCATCCAATGTCACACGCTGGATGTAGTTGTGTACAAGTAATATGGTACCAACTACAAAACATTTGACTACTTTAATACCCTATAAGTGAATTTGCCCAAATACTTATGACTTCTTCACATGGGGGGACTAGATATATAAAGTGCTTACATTTCTGAACGGTACAGCGGATACGTTTAAATATACTCTCAAATAAACATTCTGTACTGTCGCCACATATGAAACTTAAACATTAAAATTAAACAATTTAGCTTCACTGTCCAAATACATAATAATAATAATAATAATATGCCATTTAGCAGACGCTTTTATCCAAAGCGACTTAGTCATGCGTGCATACATATGGAGAGGAGTGTACTTGTATAGTATTATTCAGAGGTACTCACTACTAGTGTTCTCACGATACTCGATACCAAAACAATCCCCCAAGGCAAAAAAATTAAGCGGAGAGCAGGACTGATTTTTCTGGTTTAACCCAAAATCCCACTTTTTAAAAATAGAAAAACAACAAAATTGATGTTCTAAGTCCACAACAACGCTTAAACCACATCGGGACCACTTTTGAGGTCTGGGAAAAATCTTAAAGTTAGTTTTTTTTGTGTAGTTACCCTTTAATTCAATTGGCATGCACTTAACACTTATTTGGTTAGCAATGTTTTATGTAGCGCACTTGGAGTTTGCAAAACAAATGGCCACTGAATTGATGCAAATAATCTTGAATCTGACAGGTAGGCTACTTTGTTGTTAGCTTTTAATTGAGAAGGATTTTGGGAAAGGCTTTTCATCTACCCGAAGACGGTTATAGCTAACGGCTACATAAAGTGGTAGACATACGCGTACCGCACACACACAGACGGGTGCATTCCCGTGCCGTTGCCTCTTCAGAAAGTTGCAGGGAATAAGAATCACTAATGCATTCTGTTCATGTCTTATGATAAACTTGGGCAAATGAATACATTCAAAGTTCAATACATTTAGTTTATTTCCAAATGTGAGACATTTGATAGAATAACAAAGTAACAGAACCGTTTTTCGTTTAGTATTGAAGAAGTACAGAAGTTTCGGTGTACCATGCAACACTGTTTGCGACTTGATCTAGCCACGCTGTGACGCACAAAAGTGGATACCTAGCGGCCATAACTGGTTGAAATTATTTGTAAAAATCATTACAACGAAATGACAACATTAGGGTTGTAAACTGGTTGTATTGATGTCATTTCAACCAGCTTAACCCACTGGTAATAAATGTGCTAAATACTAATTTGTGGTTAGAAAGCAGTTAATGGAACTATATAAAAACGACCGGCACAGTTGGCTGTACTGGTTGTTGTCAAGGGCTGCCTAGTTATTGGTAAAAGATCTGATCTGATTGGTCAAAAGACCAATTAGTGGCAAAATATTAGAATAGGCTGCTTATGTAAATGCCCATTCCAGTTGGCTGTACTGGTTTTTGACATACTTTTCTCGTGTCAAATCCTCCTTTACCCCATCCCAGGTATAAGCGCATGCGGCGGCAGCACCAGAAGCAGCTGATGGGCCTGGAGAACAAGCTGAAGGCAGAGATGGATGAGCATCAGCTGAGGCTGGACAAGGAGTTGGAGAACCAGAGGAACAGCTTTGGAGGGGAGGGGGACAAGCTGAGCAAGAAGCACCAGGCTATCCTGGAGAAGGAGGTGAGGGAGGGATTGAGGGATGGGGAAGGAGGTAGGTGGGGACATCCTCAGCAAAAAGCACCAGGCAATCCTGGAGAAGGAGGTGAGGGAGGGATGGAGGGATAGGGAGGGAGGTAGGTGGGGACATCCTCAGCAGAAAGCACCAGGCAATCCTGGAGAAAGAGGATTGTGAGGGGATGGGGACAAACTGAGCAAGTAGCACCAAGCCATCCTGGAGAAAGAAGTGAGGGAGGGATAGGAAGGGAAGGAGGAGTTGGGAAGGTGGGGACAACCTTAGCAAGAAGCACCAGGTTGTAGAAAGAGGTAAAGGTGGGGGGGGGGGGGGGGGGGGGGGGGGTAGACAGGAATGGAATGAGATGGAAGTAAACGTCAAAAGAAAAGAGGAGAGGGTATTGGCCACGGCGACAGGGTGCGGCTATCCCAGGATCTCAAGGTACATTTGTAGGCCAAAGTTTTAAGTAGATAGTCAAGCTGAATAGAAGGTCTAGATTTTTGGGGTTTAGCTCTATTCTTACCCAGCTTATGGCCTTGTGTGGTTGGTTTTCAGACCAAGGCAGCCCTGGCTGAGGAGAAGAAGTTCCAGCAGCACATCCTGGCCCAGCAGAAGAAGGAACTGACCAGCCTGCTGGAATCCCAGAAACGCCAGTACCGCGCACGCAAGGAGCAGCTCAAAGAGGTACAACCATACTGCAACTACACACCAACCATACTGCAATTACTCACCAACCAATAATCCATCTACTAGGGCTGCATGAAATGACCAAATATCGCAATTTGACATGCGATATGGATCAAATCACTTGGATAAACTGTCCATAACACATATGGAATCATATAGTAACCAAAAAAGTGTTAAACAAATCAAAACATATTTTATATTTGCGATTCTTCAAAGTAGCCACCCTTTGCCTTGATGACAGCTTTGCACACTCTTGGTATTCTCTCAACCAGCTTCATGAGGAATGCTTTTCCAACAGTCTTGAAGGAGTTCCCACATATGCTGAGCACTTGTTGGCAGCTTTTCCTTCACTCTGTGGTCCAACTCATCCCAAACCATCACAATTGAGTTGAGGTCGGGTGATTGTGGAGGCCAGGTCATCTGATGCAGCACTCCATCACTCTCCTTGGTCAAATAGCCCTTACACAGCCTGGAGGTGTGTTTTGGTTCATTGTCATGTTGAAAAACAATTGATAGTCCCACTAAGCGCAAACCAGTCCAACATTTCAAATTTGGACTAATCAGACCAAAGGACAGATTTCCACCGGTCTGATGTCCATTGCGCGTGTTTCTTGGCCCAAGCAAGTCTCTTCTTCTTATTGGTGTCCTTTAGTAGTGTTTTCTTTGCAGCAATTCGACCATGAATGCCTGATTCACGCAGTCTCTTCTGGACAGTTGATGTTGAGATGTGTCTGTTAATTGAACTCTGTGAAGCATTTATTTGGGCTGCAATCTGAGGTGCAGCTAACTCTAATGAACTTATCCTCTGCAGCAGAGGTAACTCTGGGTCTTCCTTTCCTGTGGCGGTCCTCATGAGAGCCAGTTTCATCATAGTGCTTGGTTTTTGCGACTGCACTTCAAGAAACTTGAATTTTCCGTATTGACTGACCTTCATGTCTTAAAGTAATGATGGACTACAAATTCTACAAATTAACTTTTAACAAGGCACACCTGTTAATTGAAATGCATTCCAGGTGACTACCTCATGAAGCTGGTTGAGAGAATGCCAAGAGAGTGCAAAGCTGTCATCAAAGTGAATGGTGGCTACTTTGAAGAATCTCAAATATTATTTGTTTAACACTTTTTTTTGGTTACTACATGATTCAATATGTGTTATTTCATAGTTTTGATGTCTTCACTATTATTCTGCAATGTAGAAAATGAAATAAAGAAAAACCCTTGAATGAGTAGGTGTGTCCAAACTTTTGACTAGTACTGTATATACACAAAACTAAATAAATAAATATCACAACATACTATCCCTTCTCTCCCACACCCTCTCATATCCCTTGTTGGCCAAGATTCTTACTCCTGAAAAAAAGGAAATTTAAAGGCTGCCATCTCAAGAAAATGTTATCAGGACAACCTCTGTGTATTACATTTTTTCGAGGTGTAGAAAATACAGATCTTTCAACCAGGCTGATACAGTGGGAGGTTTGGAGGATTTCCAATTAAGCAAGATCTGCTGGCGGGCTATGAGGGACGCAAACGCTACAACATCTGCTTTACTTTGAGTGAAACTAGGCAACAAAGATGGAACTCCAAATATAGCTATCAAAGGACAAGGTTGCAGGTCTATATCTAGAATTTTAGAGAGAGTATTAAAAAAGGATGACCAAGACAGTTTAGAAAATGAATAAAACATATGGGTGTGGTCTGCCGGATTGATTGAACATCTATCACGTGTCATTTGTGTCCGGGAGGAATTTTCTTTGGTGTACTGAATTCTGTGCAAGACCTTGAACTGAATTAAACTTAACCGAGCACATGAGGATGTGGAGTTAACCCTAAGAAGGGCCTCCTCCCACCAGTCATCTGTAAATTCAAGTTCACTACTCCAGTCTGTCTTGATTTTGTTTATTGGAAAGAGAAAGCATAATGTCATATAATCTAGAAATCAGACCCTGCCAAATCCACGGCAGGGACAAAATCTCTTCTAGCAACATCTTGGGAGGTAGTTGAGGAAAGGTAGGAAAATGAGAGCGAACAAAGTTACGGGCTTGAAAATAGTGGAAAAGATTAGAATGAGCCAGATTACATTTAGCTACGAGATCATTAAAACTGTCAAACTTCCCATCTAAAAATACATATTTGAAACATACCAAAGCTCTCTTACGCCACAAAACAAAAGCCTGGTCGAGTTTGGAGGGTAAAAATAGGTAGTTGTTACAAATAGGGTTTAGAAGAGAAGGAGCAAAAAGTCTAAAATGTTGACAACTGTCTCCAGATCTTGAAAGTAGAGAGCACAATGGGGTTTCCAGTATACTTTGAAGGACACAAGGACAGTGGGGCACAAGAGCAGAAATGGAGGATGATTGGCAGGAGTGTGCTTCTAATGAGCACCAGTTGGTACTCGGAGCATTACACCAGACCATAAACTTTTGAATATTGGCTGCCCAACAGTAAAGCGCCAATCCTCCATCTTGTCTCCTTCTTTTAAGTATTGCTCTACGTATCCTAGGTGATTTTCCTGCCCAGATAAAATGACTGATGAGCCTATCCAACTTGGTAAAAATGATTTCGGCAGAAAGATCGGAAGACATTGAAAAAGGTACAGAAACCTAGGTAAAATTTTAATTTTAACAGATTGGATTATTCCAGCTAAGGAGAGAGGCAGACTATCCCAGCGTTGTATGTCTGCTTTAACTCGTGTGACTAGACTTGCAAAGTTAGTTTTATGGAGGTTAGCCAGAGAATGTGTTATATTCACACCTAAATAGGAAAAATCAGAGGGCGACAGACAAAGGCAGGGCTCCAGGGGGAATTAGCTTGGCAGCGGGGTTGATTGGAAAACATTCACTTTTCTGAATGTTCAATTTGTAACCTAAGAATGATCCAAATGTGTTTAAAATATGCAGTATGTTATCGACAGAGTTCACAGGGTTAGTGATATATAATAGTAGATCATCTGCATACAGTGACACTTTGTGTTCTTCACCAGCTCTGTGAATGATCATTTTAAGGCCATGGAAAGCGGTTCTAGCGCAAGTGCAAAAAGGAGCGGGGACATGAGACACCCTTGACTGGTCCCTCTGGAGAGGGGGAAGTATTTTGAGAGTTGGTGTGTACGCTAGCCGTAGGAGCAGAATAGAGCATGAGATGAAATTGGACCCAAAACCAAATCTTCCCAAAATCGTAAATAAATAATCCCACTCCACCCGGTCGAAAGCCTTCTCCGCATCAAGAGAAACAACAATTTTGGGGTCTGGAGAGACAGGAGGAGAGAGTATGATGTTCAAAAGACTGCGTACATTGGAAAACAGTTGTCGCCCTTTGATGAAACCTGTTTGATCATCAGATATGACATCCTGAAGGCAGGGTTCCAATCCGCATGGTAGAACCTTAGCTAATAGTTTAACATCAGCGTTCAAAAGTGAAATGGGCCAATATCCACCACATTCTGCCAGATCTTTATCTTTCTTGAGTATAAGTGAGATGGAGGCTTGAGTTAGCGTCGGGGGGAGAGAGCCCTGTGATAACAAGTCGGTGAACATATCTAATAGTAATGAGGTGAGTTGATCTGACCATTTTTTATAAAAATCGACAGGGAAGCCATCAGGGCCTGGGGCCTTGCCACTTTGCATTAACTTTAGACCCTTTGTTATCTCATCTAGATGCAGAGGGTTATCCAGAACTTTACTCATGTCCATATCAATGGATGGAATATCCAAGTTTATCTAAAAAGTAGTCCATAGCCGTTTTATCTGATGGGGGTTCGGATTTGTAGAGGTTAGAATAAAATGACACAAGTTGAATTAATATTAGAGGGATCACTTGTAAGACTATGGGAAGAGTCATATACCTTAGAGATGAGATGCTGACTGGCGTTGTAAGTTGGCGTGCCAAAAGGCGGCTGGCCTTGTCACCATATTCGTAGTACGTCCCCTTTGTTCGTTGCAACAGAAACTCTGCTTTGTCAGTGGAAAGCAGATTAAATTGAGTTTGAAGTTTCAGCCTCTGCGTATAATTCATGGGATGGTGAAGTTGAATATTGGCGGTCTATTTCCAGGATTGAGTCCACAAGTTCTTGACGTTTCAGTTTTCTTTGTTTGACATAATGAGCATTGTAAGAAATTATTTCCCCATAATACAACTTTGAAAGTCTCCCAAAGAAGAGAGGGGGAGGTGTTGTCATTTTTATTAGTTTGAATTAATACATCTGTTGGTTGAAATAAAGTCACAGAATTCTTTGTTAGACAATAGGGCCGTGTTAAATCTCCAATTCAACTGTTTTTTTGCGTTCGGAGAAAGAGCTAAGTCCAGAATGTGAGGGGAATGGTCCGAAATTACTATAGCAGAATATTCTGTTGTTTTAACTGAGGGAGAAGGGCTCTATCTAACCGTAGTGCAACTGCTTACCAACCAAACCGTAGCCATACTGTAACAATTCACCAACCATACTGCAACCAAACCAGCAATTACTCGCCTACCATACCGCAACCCCTAACAAACCACACCACAGCCATACTGCAACTACTGACCAACCATACTGTAATTACTCACTAACCACATTGTAGCCATGATGTAACTACTCACCAACCATACTGTAATTACTCACCAATCATACTGCAACCACTCATAGCTGAGAAGTACAGCTACTCACCCAAATCATCTGACTGTTAACAATGGCCGTTAACAAAGATACAGCCATATACCAACCACGCAGCAACCATTATTAACCCCTGCCAAAACGCATGCCACCACTATACCTTAATCACAAGCTATTATATTGACCTATCAAGTGGTGGTGTCACGCTCTGACCCTTCCTCCTGCTGTATTTCCCAGGAACTGAACGAGAACCAGTTGACCCCCAAGCGGGAGAAGCAGGAGTGGCTGGTGCATCAGAAGGAGTGTCTCCAGCAGCTGCAGGCGGAAGAGGAGGCGGGGCTCCTGCGCCGCCAGAGGCAGTACTACGAGTTGCAGTGTCGCCAGTACAAGAGGAAGATGCTGCTGGCGCGCCACAACCTGGAGCAGGACCTACTCCGAGAGGTATAGTACTTCAACAGTACCCATAACAAATAAATATTTCAGGTGACCTAGCAATAGAGCTGTTTCAGAGTTCCACAAGGCTCTGGTCTCGGACTACTACTCTTCTCATTATATAATATATATAAGGGTTAAAGTTCTCCGTCACTGCGACTGATTTTTTTTAGTTGATTAGATAGATTTTTTTATTAGATTTTTTTTCAATGTTGAAAAGGACTGGAATTGGTCAAACGCGCTGTTTAATACATGTACAAAATGATCCTCTGTCCCTAAAAGCATGATGGTCATAACCTCGGTTTCATGTAAAAAAAAGTTAACTTGGCCCCAGACAATCGATATGAGATCGACTTAAGTTTCAGTCATGGGATTTGTTTTTTCTTTAACCCCGATATAATGCTACCTCTGTGATGTTATATAGTACAGCACTAATGCCTAATACCCCAACAGGCAAAAATGACATATTTGGGTTGTTATCTGGTCAGATTCTCTCCATATGTCTTTCTCTACCCTCATCCATTTCTCTCTCCTTTCTTCCTTCTCCATCCAGGACCTGAACAAGAAGCAGACGCTGAAGGACCTGGAGTGCGCAATGCTGCTGCGCCACCACGAGTCCACCCAGGAGATGGAGTTCCGGCAGCTGGGCTCGGTGCAGCGCACGCGGGCCGACCTGATCCGCACCCAGCACCAGACGGAGCTCACCAATCAGATGGAGTACAACAAGCGACGCGAGCAGGAGCTGAGGCAGAAGCACGCCGTGGAGGTCCGCCAGCAGCCCAAAAGCCTCAAAGTGAGTGAGAGCGAGACCCCCAGTACCCAGAACCAGCCACCTCCAGAGGAGGAGGACAGGGGGGACGAGGGCCAGGAGACAGGGGGGCAAAGGGGAGCCCAGGCTGGGGCTGAGGGGGTGGAAGAGGTGGGAGTATGTGAAACCAAAGAGGAAATGAAGGAGGGAAACGAAGCAGAGGTTAGGAAAGGTTTTGAAGGAGGGATTGAAAAGGTGGTGAGAGACCAAAGTGGAGATGGAGAGATTGAGAAGGGAGAAGAGGAGGAGGTGGGGGATGAGGTTTGCTCCAGTGTAGAAACAAAGGTTGAAGTAGAGGAGGAGGAGAAGAGCGAGAAAAGCGAATATGACGAGGGTCAAGAAGTTGAGGAGTGGAAAGCGGGGGAGGGAGAAGGAGAGCTAAGGCAGGTGGAGGGAGTGCAGTGGGGGGAGAGGGATGAGGAAGACGAAGCGAGATACGTTCTCGATGATGACGATGAGGAGGAGGATAGGGGCGTGGCAGACGGCTGTCCGTCTGAGCATTTCTCCTCCCCATCCCTGGAACGGAAGCGTGTCCGCGAGCAGCGCAAGGCGGACGAACTCTCTGAGTTCTACTTCCCCGACACCCTTGAGGAACTCGAGCCTCTTCACCTCTCTGCCCCTCCCCCTTCTCCGCCCCCCGTCCCCTCTTCCTTTCCCTCCCTCTTCTCTCATTCCATCTGCCTCCTCCTCTCTCTCTCTGCCGCCGTCCAGCCCTCCAACCTCACCTTCCTCCTACTCTCAGTCTTCCTCCTCTCCCTTCGTCGCTCTCCCCCTCTCCCCTCGCTGGCCTCCCTCCTCCTCTCGGGCGAGCTCGCCCTCCTCGCCCTCTTCTTCTCCTACCTCTTCCTCCGCTCCTGCTGCTCCCTCTCTCTCTCCACCTACCTGTCCCTCACTCTGTGGGCATGCGGCCTCTTCAGCCTGGGCCTCTCGCTGAGCCTGGGTCTCTATTACGTCCCCGTGGCCCTGATCTCTGCCTCCTTCCTCAGCTCGCCGTCCCTCTTCCTCTCCCTCTACCTTGTGGTGGTGCTGGTGGTGCGGCCGGCACGCGTCTTCCTACAAAACGCCCCCCGTAAACTCAACCGTCTGTGGATGAGGTTCCTCTTTCGCCTCCCCCGCCCACTCTTCAACATCTGCCAGTCTCTCTTTGGGGGCCTGGCGGAGCGCAGCCTCTATGACATGTTCCCCAAGGCCGGGCGCAACTGGGGCGGGCGCCAGTCCAAAATCCCTGTGCCCCTAAAGAGCCTGCCCTTAGAGCGCCTGGCGGGCAGGGGCCACGATGGCTCGCCCCTTGCCACGTGCCTCCTCTGGGTCAGGCGTTTTGTCAGACGGCCCCTAGGGGTCCTCGCCGACCTGGCCAACTCGGTCGTGCTAAGGCTAGCTAGCAGGGTCCTTAAAGAGCTGCCCCCGGAGTGCCTGAGCAGACTTCGTACATTCGGTCTGCTGAGAGTGGAGAAACCTAGCAGGCTGCCCAGGCTACTGCCTAGGGAGATCAGAGAGCAGAAACAGAAGGAGAGGAGGAAGAGCGAGAGGGAGAGGCAAAGAAGGGAGGAGAGAGAGTGTATTTTCAGAGATGAGGGAAGGTGGGAATGCGGGTTGAGACGAACATCATCTGGGCGGAGTGTGAGGGGTAAAGTGCGACCATGGAGATAGTAAGAGAGGGAGAGAGTTAGGGAGTTGGATAGTGTGTGTGCATTCCATCGATCACTGTCTGACCATCATGTGCGTTTGTTTCCTGACTCGCACGGTTTTGGGGTCCATTTTCAACCCTCCCAAAGATAGGTATACCTATGATGCACACAACCTAACACTGTGTTGCATTGACTGGAATGTAATTGGCAGTTTTAATGTACTGTATTGCCAAAAGCATCCAGCAACTCCTGTCATGTCACTGTCTTATACCCCATTGAAGTTTCACCGTTTGTCACTCACTATTGTGCTTTTTGTAAAAGTTTAAATGTTTTCTTTATTTTGTTCTTAATTCGTAAGACAATATGTTTATGGTTATTGCTGAGACCATGTTTGTGCAATCTATTCTTGTGTTTTTATGGACTTTTTAAGATTTCAAGTCTTTTTAGTGCACTGTTCACGCACATTGAATTTGTCAGTGGATAGTGGTTATCATCAATGGCCACTATTGATAGATATTATTGGCTGTGGATTGTCCACAAATCAAGCATTTCAACCCATTTATAATCCTAAATGACTGTGAAAGTAGAAGTAGGCCTACATCTGGATAATTTCACATAACCGCCCCCATAAAACACTACTAGGTCATTAATATAGTGCAATAAATATTCAACCACGCAGAAACTTCCAGAACAAGGTTGCTTCAATCCACAAAGCGAACTGTAATACATTAATGTTATGTACAAGCTTACATACATAATGTGTTTAATACGTAAAACTTGACGAATACGCTAAACTGTGAAATAATTTCCCAAAATGTGTTTTTGTTCTTAAAATCCAGTACTGTACCTCTATCAGTCATCCGAATATAGGATACAATATTCAATATTATTATACCCAATTATCAGTTAGCCAATGTTTTGAGATATTGTATTTGGCCGGGTCGACTTTGGCTGTCAATTTAGTGAGATATATTAGATATTTAGTTAGTATTTCTCATTGAGAAGAGTTGATAGTTTGATAGTAAGACCCCAAACGTGAACACGTAGAGAGCAGTGGAAGCTGGTGAAATGGTTATTACCGTTATTACAGAGTTATTACATTTCAGCGTCTAATTAAGTAGATTGATTATTCATTATTGTGCTATTGGCAATAATCTTATATAACGAATGATTTACCATGTAAACATTGTTTTTCTCATTCTCCTAAATTAAGATACAGCGGTTGTCTGAATGACTGTTCTGTTATACAGCCAGAGAGGTTAGGCTACCTCCATATCTGCAAAAAAAAGTATTATATCGTTTTTGTTCATTTTAGGACTATACCTTTTTAATATTATTTTATTGCTGTTTAATTGGGATATTGGTTAAAATGTGTTTTAAAGCCATAAAGACTTAAGTCCAAAGGTTGAGGGAACCACTGAATGTGAGAGAAATGCAATACTCAACGAAGAAATTGACAATCGTTCAAATTGGTCAAAGGGTTTTAACTAGTCTAAAACGATGCAAACATATTTCTTCCAAAAAGAGCTGAAAATTGACTGGCCCCTCCCTCGACTTTGAATACTAGTCAGTTTGTCACGCAAATTATATTGAATTATGTTATGTATCCAATGATAGATAGATAGATAGATATATATATATATATCAAGTGAATGTTGATATAGATCTATCTTATCTATATACACAAAATATACAAAGTATGTGGACACCCCTTCAAATGAGTGGATTCGGCTATTTCAGCCACACCCATTGCTGACAGATTTATAAAATCGAGCACACAGCCATGCAATCTCCATAGACAAACATTGGTAGTAGAATGGCCTTAGAGCTCAGTGACTTTCATCGTGGCACCGTCATAGGATGCCACCTTTCAAACCATTCAACATGTAGCGTTAAGATTTCCCTTCACTGGAACTAAGGGGCCTAGCCCGAACCATGAAAAACAGCCCCAGACCATTATTCCGCCTCCATCACACTTTACAGTTGGCACTATGCATTGGGTCAGGTAGCGTTCTCCTGGCATCCGCCAAACCCAGATTCGTCCGTCGGACTGCCAGATGGTGAAGCGTGATTAATCACTCCAGAGAATGCGTTTCCACTGCTCCAGAGTCCAATGGAAGGGGTGTCCACATACAAAAAAAGTATTATTATACTTAACTACATTGAATTGATTGCTTGGTCACCCGTCCATTGAGTTGCAACCGGTTGTTTAAATGGGCAGTTGGCTATTGAAGAAGAGCCAGGGTAGATGGAGGGCTAATTTAGAAGGATACAAATTTCAGTAAAAATGTTTGCAAAGAAGAGATTCTTAATTAAAATATATCTATCTACCTGGGAGGTCAGGGGAAATGTACTTTGAAGTGCAGGAATACTACTTTAAATGCAGGTCACCCAGAAAATAGTCCCCTGCATTTTACAGGTGAGCCATTGAGGTGGAAGGGTATTATTGAGTGTGACGCGGCAGGAGGCACACTCCCCCTCTCCTGCACTGTATTCTAACACAAAGAAAACTAGGGTGTTGCTTTCTGGATGACTTGCATTGGAGGGAGAGTTGGCGAATCCCTAATCCCCTTTTTGAAGGGTGATGTATATTACATTGTATTCTGGCTTTAAAAATAGGCATATCTTGTGTGCAGTTTTTCACCCCTTGTTATTTTGTGAATGTAATTTATGGTTTCAAATTATTTCTGTGTCAGTATATTTGTCTTATTTTTGTATGTTTACTTTTGTTCTATGTTTGTGTGTTAGAATTTCCAGAGTTTATTTGAATATTGAATATATGCAGTATTTATAAGGTTAGTACTGCATTCTGTGTGTTGGGCCAGTAACCGAAAGAACGCTGGTTCAAATCCCTGAGCCGACAAGGTGAAAAATCTGTCTGTGCCGTTGAGCAAGGCACTTAACCCTAATTGCTCCTGTAAGTCGCTCTGGATAAGAACGTCTGCTAGATGACAAAAATGTAAATGTGTTCGGCAGCCATTTTTTGTTTGCATTTCATCCTTATTGTGAGTGCATGAGTGGTGTATTGTATGTGTGTAAGTATACGCAGCATTTTGGCATATTTACAGGGGTTTTATCTCCACACAGAAATAAATTATTATTTTGTTAATCATTTTGTCTTGTTCATTTTTATGATTTACATCTTTGTTTTCATTATTTCCTTATTGTTATCATTTACCATCATTTCCATATCTTTATTTATTCATTCAATCAGTTCATCAGTCTTTTACCAAACATGGAGAAAAATAGTTGAACCTAAGTTAAGTATTCCGGATTTACATTCATCCTCACTCATTTTGTCATCACATAACTTTTATTTTTGTCATCCTCTGTTCTCCCTGTCCCTGCATCCACCTCCAACATGAATAAAATAAGTCAAATTTTGTTTTGGCACGGAACACCTTGTAGAGCTGGGACGATAAACTGAAAATTATCGACACCGACCATATCGATCACTTATCGCAGGCATTTTGCTGATATCGTTCATTACGATAAGTTGCCTATATTAGAGAAATGTGATTTGAAATGAAATACGTTTGCTATTATGGGTGATTGTTAATGGGAAAATGGATTGCTACAACCATCAAACTAGTAGTTGAAAGGATCTTTTATTTTAATTGTTTTACTGTGGTGCACATTGTTATAAACGTATGGTTCTATTTATCATTATCGCATCAATTCAGGCAATTTATTACGATATGGATTTTTGTCCATATTGCCCAGCTCTAACACCATGGCTACGTCCCAGTTATCTCTCCTCTCTTCCAAAGTGTAGATGTAAATTACTAGTATAAGAAATATGGTGGAAATGCCCTTGATCCCATGCCACCCTGCAATCCAATGCGTTTAGATTTGTGGGAAGTAGTGAACGAGTGTACACTTCAGGAGAAAGGAGATATTATTGGGACGCACCCAGTATATCTGAATTCCAAATCGACCCTAGCCTTTACACCCTAGGTTTAGGCACCCATTTAGATCTGAGAGGATTGGATAGATGTAAGCAATATGGAGTTTTTACAACATTGCTTCAATCTATCCTATCCTCAGACCTACAATGGCTACGGAGTAGGAGCTAGGGATCGATTTGGAACTGAGAATATACAGTTGAAGTCGGAAGTTTACGTACACTTAGGTTGGAGTCATTAAAACTTGTTTTTCAACCACTCCACAAATTTCTTGTTAACAAACTATAGTTTTGGCAAGTCGGTTAGGACATCTACTTTATGCATGACACAAGTAATTTTTCCAACAATTGTTTACAGACAGATTATTTCACTTATAATTCACTGTATCACAATTCCAGTGGGTCAGAAGTTGACTGTGCCTTTTTAAAGAGCTTGGAAAATTCCAGAAAATGATGTTATGGCTTTAGATGCTTCTGATAGGTCCTCTGTAGCTCAATTGGTAGAGCATGGCGCTTGTAACCCCGGGGTAGTGGGTTCGATCCCCGGGACCACCCATACGTAAAAATGTATGCGCACATGTCTGTAAGTCGCTTTGGATAAAAGCGTCTGCTAAATGGCATATTAATTGGAGGTGTACCTGTGGTTGTATTTCAAGGCCTACCTTCAAACTCAGTGCCTCTTTGCTTGACATCATGGGAAAATCAAAATAAATCATCCAAGACCTCAGAAAAAACATTGTAGACCACCACAAGTCTGGTTCATCCTTGGGAGCAATTTCCAAATGCTTTAAGGTACCACATTCATCTGTTCAAACAATAGTACGCAAGTATAAACACCATGGGACCACGCAGCCGTCATACTGCTCAGGAAGGAGACGCGTTCTGTCTCCTAGAGATTAATGTACTTTGGTGCGAAAAGTGCAAATAAATCCCAGAACAACAGCAAAGGACCTTGTGAAGATGCTGGAGGAAACAGGTACAAAAGTATCTACAGTAAAATGAGTCCTATATCGACATAACCTGAAAGGCCGCTCAGCAAGAAAAAAAAAAAAAGTCACTGCTCCAAAACCACCATAAAAAAGCCAGACTACAGTTTGCAACTGCACATGGGGACAAAGATAGTACTTTTTGGAGAAATGTCCTCTGGTCTGATGAAACAAAAATAGAACTGTTTGGCCATAATGACCATCGTTATGTTTGGAGGAAAAAGGGGAGTATTGCAAGCCAAAGAACACCATCCCAACCGTGAAGCACGAGGGTAGCAGCATAATGCCGTGGGGGTGCTTTGCTGCAGGAGAGACTGGTGCACTTTACAAAATAGATGGCATCATGAGGAAGGAAAATTATGTGGATATATTGAAGCAACATCTCAAGACATCAGTCAGGAAGTTAAAGCTTGGTCGCAAATGGGTCTTCCAAATGGACAATGACCCCAAGCATACTTCCAAAGTTGTGGCAAAATGGCTTAAGGACAACAAAGTCAAGGTATTGGAGTGACCATCACAAAGCCCTGACCTCAATCCTATAGAAAATCTGTGGGCAGAACTGAAAATGCGTGTGCGAGCAAGGAGGCCTACAAACCTGACTCAGTTACACCAGCTCTGTCAGGAGGAATGGGCCAAAATTCACCCAACTTATTGTGGGAAGCTTGTGGAAGGCTACACAAAATGTTTGACCCAAGTTAAACAATTTAAAGGCAATGATACCAAATACTAATTGAGTGTATGTAAACTTCTGACCCACTGGGAATGTGATGAAATAAAGAAAAGCTGAAATAAATCACTCTCTACTATTATTCTGACATTTCACATTCTTAAAATAAAGTGGTGATCCTAACTGACCTAAGACAGGGGATTTTTACTAGGATTAAATGTCAGGACTTGTGAAAAACTGAGTTTAAATGTATTTGGCTAAGGTGTATGTAAACTTCCGACATTTATTGTGACTTTGTTTATTCTTATGTGGGGGAGTGGTTACGAAAATGTTAGTCAATAGGAGTTGGGTTATGGTTTGCAATTGGTGATCAGCAATACCTTGAGCCAACTAGGGGTAGGCAGTCAATTCTGAAAATAAATTGAAATTCAACAAATTTATTAAACAGTATTTATCGGAATAGGAAGCAGTGGGCAATGATCAATTTGTTGACCAAATTATTAATCAGGACATCCTGATTTGATATGGAGCATACAGTACCTAGAATGGGGTGAGGACTAGGAGATGCAAGATCAAGCTAATGCCCTTTTCAGCTGAAGTTGTCACTTATTATACTCAGACTTAACCCTCAAGGACATTTTAAGAAATGTCTGACAACTTAAGCGGATATGAGAAGTTGTAGTCCTGTGTAGCTCAGTTGGTAGAGCATGGAGCTTGCAACGCCATGGTTGTGGGTTTGATTCCCATGGAGGACTAGTATGAAAATGTATTCACTCACTACTCTAAAATGTCAAATGTATTGCAGGTAAGTGTAATGCGAAATATTCATGAGAAGACCCCGCTTTCATCCAACTGATGTCTCATGGTATCTTGTAGGAATACATGACTGTCTTTCTCACAATAAGTGAACAGAACACCTATTGAATTGATGGTGAATAGGAATAACGAAATGGTTGTACACATACCCCGCCTCCCAGCCCCACCCCATTTGAAAAATAATTGAGGAATGCACGTCCTATTATAGATAATAACCATTTATGAACGTACAACTTTCATTTGCATATGTTTGATACCGTTCTGTTTGATACTGTTCCATTCATTCCCAGTCAGACATTACAAGGAGTTTTTCCCAATACTGCCTCCACCAATGCATACATAGGATTTAAATCAGGGGGGAAGGATTGCGACATGGTATACAGTAGGCAGCCATTCAGTAGATGTACTTATTTCTTAACTACCATGGAAAAGCAAGTGATTGTGGGGTCACTTCCACCTCGTAAAAATCCAAATGCACACTCCACAGCCCTATATAGCCTATACACATATTGGATCTTCACATATTCAAATGAACACATTCAAGCACATCAGCCAAAACCGTTGTCTCGTTCTCTCTTTCTGTATTGCTAAGGAGACAACCAGGACACCATTACGTTAGCCTCAGAACATCTTTACAAAGCCTTTTATCTCAATTCATCTTTCATCGATTCCTCACATCCTGTCCTTGCCTCCTTCTCAAAACCCATTGGAGAAGTAGGTCAGAGGGGAGGTAGCTAGGAATTACAATACATTTGAGAAGGAGGCAAGGAAATAGGATGTGATGAATCACAGAAAGACAAATTGAGAAAGAGGCTAAGATAACCTGATATGTTACAAACAAAACATTATGGGTACTGTAGTACATCATGCCACACTCTCTCTCATCCAGTCCAAAGAACTCCAGATCAAGCGTCAGTTCCAGGACACGTGCAAGATCCAGACGCGCCAGTACAAGGCCCTGCGCAACCACTTGCTGGAGAACACGCCCAAGTCGGACCACAAGGCGGTGCTCAAGCGCCTGAAGGATGAGCAGACACGTAAGCTGGCCATCCTGGCTGAGCAGTACGACCACTCCATCAATGACATGCTGTCCACACAGGCTGTGAGTAATGCAAGAATATGTTGTTCACTCTTTGCACCGCACCACCAACCCACCGTAGCGCCTTACCCACCCCTGCCTGGGCATGTGAGGGCATGCGAGCCAGCTGCCTGCACTCCTGACTGTCCCCGGACTTGACATCATCACACCGCTTTCTTTGTCCTCACTTAAGTGTTATGATACCCTCTCGGCACTTGGCTAGCAAGCTACACCCTTTCTCTCCGTAGTTGACTAATAGTACCGCTTCTAAAAAAATATGCCATTCCCCCTGCCCTGGGTCTGACTGTCCTTGCATGGCACAACATGGGCCTGTTCAGAGGATGTAGCGTTACAGAACGTTCAGATAGAAATGTATCATATAGAACAGACATTTTGGTCAGATAGAATAGGGGAATTGTGTCAGCTCTATTCATTTTATTTATATCTGCAACGTTGCACCTGAGATGGTAGAGAAAGCGAGACATCTCACTGGCAAAATTAATAAGTATACCAGAGCCAGCTGTTATTGGACAGTTTCCCATTGAAAAATATGTCTATTTAAGTGGGCATTTCCTCTCTCGCGTGAGCATGCCAGAGATTATGGAGGAACCGCGAGCTCACGCGGGAAAGCATGCTCACGCAAGAGAGGGAATGCCTACTTACACAGACCGGAACCTTGACAATGTTTTCCAATGGTAAACTGCCTGAGTAAGACATTTATCCACTATCTTTGGTTACACCCCATACCTACTAGAACAGCAGGTCCGCAATCAGCAGGGCACAACGTTGTGGAATATTCAGATATAAATATATGATGGAGAACAAATACTCCTCTCTGACATGAAGAAAAAGGAATCCTGTCAGCTCTATTCATGACATTTCTATTTAACGTTCCACAGCTTTGCACCCTCCTGAACAGACCCCAGTTACGTGCATCTGTTAGGTCCTCACGTAGCACCAACACACGTCCAAGACACTCAAGTAAGCCAAACCCCCTTTTTCTGTCCCTACACGACACCACATCTGCTGGCACACAGAAAGTTACATAACATCTCTTGTGTCTCCGAATAGCACCGCCTCACATCCACAGGCACAGATCTGCCATATGTCATGTACTCATGTAACACCTCACATAGGCCACACACACCCCTGTCCCTATCCTCACCACACTCCTCCACTTGTAGGCTACTAGCCAAATGCCTATTCACATTGTTACAAGCTATACCCAGCTCTATACAGTCTCTACTGTTTCTATACTATCTCTACTGTATCACTATCATCAATACCACAGCATGTATCAAACAAACTACGACACCCTATTCATGTCACACAATACCACACTGTTATTTCCCCATCACACACTCATGGAAAGAAGTGGGGGGCGCTCAACCATCACACACTCAACCACATTCAATCGGAGCAAACCACTACCTCATCAATAATATTTACCCAAAACATTTCCATTTAGTAACTAACACACCTCCCTCACACTAAGATACACATCCCCTTCCTATACGCCACACCCCCTGATCTGTCCCTCTGTCACCCTATGCCTAAGTACGGGAGGAACTCCCTTTTCCACTTCCTCCACCTATTTTTATGCTGACGCCCCACCTTATTTGCCACTCTGTCTCCAGCTCCGATTGGATGAGACGCAGGAGGCGGAGTATCAGGTGCTGCGGATCCAGCTGCAGCAAGAGTTGGAGCTGCTCAACGCCTACCAGAGTAAGATCAAGATCCACACCGACTCGCAGCATGAGCGGGAGGCCAAGGACCTGGAGCAGAGGGTGTCCATCCGCCGGGCACTGCTGGAGCAGAGGGTAGGTGTAGGGTGAAGTTGCCCCTAAACTCTGATCTGGGGTCAGTTTTGCCTTTCCCCCGCTAATGGTTAGAGTTCGGGGAGGGGAAACTGATCCTAGATCACCCTGGAGCAAGGGGTGGAGAGATACAGCTGGTCCCAAATCTCTCCCTATCCCTCCCCTTAGCCCTAACCCTAGCATGTATGTGGGGTCTGGATAGATATAACTAGTGAAGTGGAGGAGCTTCCACCATATAGCTTTCACCTTACAGATTTGCACACATCAAAGGGTTAGGGAGCGAATTGGGACTGACAGAGAGTATGGTTTCATTACAAATCGACCACCTAGCCCTAGACTTTTGTCTTGGATGTTAAAAGATGTCTTGGATGTTTGTCCAAAATCTAAATCCAAGATTACATATCTGGCCCATTGAAAAATGCCAAGAATTTATACCAAACTCTAGCCCCACTACATTCTAGGCACTCCTGTAGATATGACCGAATTGGATAGGTGGAAGCAATAATGCAACCAATCAGAGGCTATTACCAGAATGCTTATATCTATCCAGTCCTCTCAGATCCAATCCTCTCAGTTCTACAGGAGTGCCTAGGCCGGTTTGTGATTACATTTTTGGACTTTTGGAATGGGCCAGATATGTAACTACTGTATGTAGCGATTTCAGTGGCAACAGAAATTGTATTTGAATTCCATCATTTTTATTTGCATGAGGATATAGCATTTTTATTTAATATTTTTGAATTTGTACTGCACAAATTGAACTTGTATTTTCATTATTTGAAACTGAATTGAATGAATATTGCATTCAGTTTTAAAATTCAATTTCAATTTAATTGAATATTCAAGTTCAATATTAAGTTTCAATCAGAGTATGTGAGCGAGTTGATGAGCGGTCGGAAATCCAGCTCATCGCTCATGGAGCTTGCACACTGCTCCGGCACTCCACGTCCTGCTCCAAGTCCTTTCCAACCGCTCCGCAAAAAACTGCTCCTTGCTCAAAGGAAAAAAAAACAGCCATCCAAATTCGCTCCATTCATTAAAATCACAATTTAACCAACACACATCTATTTCTGTGACTATCTGGACCTACTGTACCATTTTGTTTTGAAGTATTGAAACCAAACCATATGATTTGAATGAAAACAGGAAAAGGTGACTGTAAGAAGCGCTCATCATTTCAAATAGGCCACATGTCACATTAAACAGCATATAAACACTCTAAATAGGTCAGCAGCCAGACAGGTAGCCTAAGAAGGAGTGAAAATGAATTATTTTGTCTATATTATTTCAAGGCTATAGCCTGCAAATACATAAATTGTGAAGCTTTTTGCATGTGCGACACACTAGGCTGGCAGGGACATTAAGCGCTCTGCATATTATGTAATGGCAAAATGTAGATTCCCGCCTAAATAGACATACCCAAAAGTAACTGCTATTCATGTGTAATCACATGATTCTGACATAAATAACTTGGTATATTTGGAAAGAAGACATCTGTGAGATTATGAGAAAATGATCAGATAGGAGTTACATAGTTCAGAATACACAAGATCAAGCACACACAAAATAACAGATTTGTTATTTTGAAAGTAATCTTTCATTGACAAGCTATAAATGAATTATTGATGACTAGAGCTGGAAACACATCAGATGGCTTCCACAACATGTGAACAATATAAAAAAAGGGATTGATAGACCTAACAACTAGAAATGGCAGATGTTTTAGTAAGTGGTGTCAGGTGTGGTCACGGGACGTTAACAAGTGTCCCTAAACCTCTCCAAAGTGGCATATGTCTGTAAATTAGATAATTTCCAGTGCTATTACATATTTTCAATCACTAAATGCCATTTGTTCAGTATAAAAACACAATTTCTACCATATCAACCTCACTCAAACATTGTGGTGGTGTTATGGGGTATCCAGGGTACATTCAAGTGTCCTTTCAACCTCTCCAAAGTGTCTAAATGTGGTAATTGCACTGTTTTTGCACACTGGATGTGCCTCTTGCTTTGTCCCACCCAGGTCAACTGCATATCCCTGGAAAGCTTATCTCATTGGCAACAAGACTGTCAAGGTGCCATAGTAGCCAATCCCCTGTGTAATGGATGCCTACAGCGCGTAAGCAGGCAACATCAAATGTTTTATGCGCAAAGATAGTCACTAGGTGGACATTCGATGTTGCCATTAAGTCATACATCATCTGATAACATTGGCAATAGGCTAGATTTGTTCCTACCAACCTAAGGATTAATTTGATACCCCCCATGTAGCTATAGCTCAAACACAGACCAAATCGAAGCTTACCTTGTAAGATGTTTGCTGTTTGGTGAAAATGTGTAAAATAAACATTTTGACTCTCGAGGTTGGTGATCAATAACGGTAGGTCACAGGCAGACAAATAAGATATCCTCATGATCTGTGGAGTCCTGGCTTTCGGTGTGTATCAACGTATTCCATGTTTATTTCGTTTATGCTTCACAACGTTAACCGGAATGTAGGTAGCAGCCATCTTGAAATGAGGTCATTGGCTCGGCCTGCCCTAATAAATTCGTATGCCCAAATTTGGTAGTAAGTCACACGAAAGATTTGAAGGCACCGATCAATAGCCAAGATACTGCTTTCCGCAGACACCCTGCTTTTGCAGATAAGGGCTACTGTTCTCATACCAGACTGAATTTAATAAAACAAATCTAATAGGGTCCCCAAATATGGGGACTTTACATTTAAGAGGTACAACATTTCGTTGTATTAAATCATTATAGTCTATAAATTGCACATATAGGCTGTGACTTAGAATTAAATACAAATTAAACGTAAAATGCCCTATTAGGCTCCATCTACAGTGCCTTTGAATTCATTTATGAAACATGAGTTTGGCCAGAGTCTGGGCTTCAGGCTCATGCGAGAATACCCTCTCAGCGCTTGCAGAGCCACTAGGGATGCTAAACACACTTCGGGCCACTCTTGCCAGACTGGGCAGGGATGCGTTTTTTTGTTGTTGTTGTTGTAGGTAGGACTAAAGGATTTTAGGTTAAATAACCCTATCAATCAAAACGGAAAGCTCCTTGAAAGAGGTAATATGCCAGGCCTATTGGGCCAAAATCCATGATGGCCTATTGCAGTGCATTCGGAAAGTATTCAGACCCCTTGACTTTTTTCCACATTTTGTTATGTTAGTCTTATTCTAAAATGGATCTAAAAAAATTAAAAAATTAAACTCATCAATGTACACACAATACCCCATAATGACAAAGCAAAAACAGGTTTTTAGACATTTATGCAACATCAACAAAATATATTTATGGACATATCACCTTTACATAAGTATACTGACCCTTTACTCAGTACTTTGTTGAAGCACCTTTGGTAGCGATTACAGGCTAGAGTCTTCTTGGGTATGACGCTACAAGCTTTGGGGAGTTTCTCCCATTCTCTGCAGAGCCACTCAAGCTCTGTCAGGTTGGATGGGCCACTGAAGGTCATTCAGAGACTTGTCCCGAAGCCACTCCTGCGTTGTCTTGGCTGTGTGCTCATTACCGAGTTCCAAACTGCCTCGGGAAGCAACGTCAGCACAATAACTGTTCGTCAGGAGCTTCATGAAATGGGTTTCCATGGCCAAACAGCCTCACACAAGCCTAAGATCATCATGCTCATTGCCAAGTGTCGGCTGGAGTGGTGTAAAGCTTGCCGCCATTGGACTCTGGAGCAGTGGAAACGGGTTCTATGGAGTGATAAATCACACTTCACCAGTCCAACGGCCAAATCAGGGTTTGGCAGATACCAGGAGAACGCTACCTGTCCCAATGCATAGTGCCAACTGTACAGTTTGGTGGAGGAGGAATAATGGTCTGGGGCTGTTTTTCATGGTTCGGGCTAGGCCCCTTAGTTCCAGTGAAGGGAAATCTTAACGCTACAGCATACAATAACATTCTAGACGATTCTGTGCTTCCAACTTTGTGGCAACAGTTTGGGGAAGGACCTTTCCTGTTCCAGCATGACAATGCCCCCGTGCACAAAGCGAGGTCCATACAGAAATACATACAGAAATGGTTTGTCAAGATCGGTGTGGAAGAACTTGCCTGGCCTACAGAGTCCTGACCTCAACCCCATCAAACACCTTTGGGATGAATTGGAACGCCGACTGCGAGCCAGGCCTAATTGCCCAACATCAGTCCCCGACCTCACTAATGTTCTTGTGGCTGAATGTAAGCAAGCCCCCGCAGCAATGTTCCAACATCTAGTGGAAAGCCTTCCGAGAAGAGTGGAGGCTGTTATAGCAGCCAACGTGGGACCAACTCCATATTAATACCCATGATATTGGAATGAGATGTTCGTGCAGGTGTCCACATACTTTTGATCATGTAGTGTACCATATTGAATATAAATATTGAATTTGAATATTCAATTAAATTAAATGTTCATTTTAAATGTTTCAAATGATGAAATACAAGTTAAATGTATGAATTCAATTATTCAATTTGTGCATTAAACATTCAAAAATATTAAATTAAAATTCTATATCCTAATAGTCATTTAGCAGACGCTCTTATCCAGAGCGACTTACAGGAGCAATTAGGGTTAAGTGCCTTGCTCAAGGGCACATCAACAGATTTTTCACCTAGTCGGCTCGGGGATTAGAACCAGCGACCTTTCGGTTACTGGCACAACGCTCTTAAACCCTAAGCTACCTGCCGCCCCATCTACACACAATACCCCATAATGACAAAGCAAAAACAGGTTTTTAGAATTTTGCAAATGTATTCAAAATTCAAAACTGATATCAAATTTATGTAAGTATTCAGACCCTTTACTCAGTACGCTGTTGAAGTACCTTAGGTAGTGATTTGGCAAACTCCAAGCAGGCTCTCATGTGCCTTTTACTGAGGAGTGGCTTCCGTCTGGCCACTCTACCATAAAGGCCTGATTGGTGGAGTGCTGCAGAGATGGTTGTCCTTCTGGAAGGTTTTCCCATCTCCACAGGGGTACTCTGGAGTTCTGTCAGAGTGACCATTGGGTTCTTGGTCACCTCCCTGACCAAGGCCCTTCTCCCCTTGATTGCTCAGTTTGGCCAGGTGGTCAGCTCTAGGAAGAGTCTTGGTGTTTCCAAACTTCTTCCATTTAAGAATGATGGAGGCCACTGTCTTCTTGGGGACCTTCAATGCTGCAGAAATGTTTTGGTACCCTTCCCCAGATCTGTGCCTCGACACAATCCTGTCTCGGAACTCTACGGACAATTCCTATGACCTCGTGGCTTTGCTCTGACATGCACTGTCAACTGTGGGATCTTATATAGACAGGTGTGTGCCTTTCCAAATCATGTCCAATCAATTGAATTTACCACAGGTGGACTCCAATCAAGTTGTAGCAACATCTCAAGGATGATCAATGGAAACAGGATGCACCTGAGCTCAATTTCGAGTCTCATAGCAAAGGGTCTGAATACTTATGTAAATAATGTATTTCTGTTTTAATTTTATTTGCAAAAAAATCTAAAAACCTGTTTTCGCTTTGTCATTATGGGATATTGTGTGTAGATTGATGAGGAAAATGTTTTATTTAATCAATTTTAGAATAAAGCTGTAACGTAACAAAATGTGGAAAAAGTCAAGGAGTCTGAATACTTTCCGAATGCACCGTAACCTGGATTTGTTTTTACAAACATCCAAGACATCTGTGTTTGTTTGTTTGCGTGTGTGCGTGTGTGTTTTTTTTGGTTTTACTATCCTTGTGAGGACCAGAAGTCCTCACAAGGATAGTAAAAAAAAAAAGGAACATTCGGACTACTGGGGATATTTCGCCGGTCCCCACAAAGAAAAATACACTGCTCAAAAAAATAAAGGGAACACTAAAATAACACATCCTAGATCTGAATGAATGAAATAATCTTATTAAATACTTTTTTCTTTACATAGTTGAATGTGCTGACAACAAAATCACACAAAAATTATCAATGGAAATCAAATTGATCAACCCATGGAGGTCTGGATTTGGAGTCACCCTCAAAATGAAAGTGGAAAACCACACTACAGGCTGATCCAACTTTGATGTAATGTCCTTAAAACAAGTCAAAATGAGGCTCAGTAGTGTGTGTGGCCTCCACGTGCCTGTATGACCTCCCTACAACGCCTGGGCATGCTCCTGATGAGGTGAAGCATCCGTCACCTCCTGGACAGTCTGTGGTGCAACGTGGCGTTGGTGGATGGAGCGAGACATGATGTCTCAGATGTGCTCAATTGGATTCAGGTCTGGGGAACGGGCGGTCCATAGCATCAATGCCTTCCTCTTGCAGGAACTGCTGACACACTCCAGCCACATGAGGTCTAGCATTGTCTTGCATTAGGAGGAACCCAGGGCCAACCGCACCAGCATATGGTCTCACAAGGGGTCTGAGGATCTCATCTCGGGACCTAATGGCAGTCAGGCTACCTCTGGCAAGCACATGGAGGGCTGTGCGGCCCTCCAAAGAAATGCCACCCCACACCATGACTGACCCACCACCAAACCGGTCATGCTGGAGGATGTTGCAGGCAGCAGAACATTCTCCACGGCGTCTCCAGACTCTGTCACGTCTGTCACATGTGCTCAGTGTGAACAGGTGCTTTCATCTGTGAAGAGCACAGGGCGCCAGTGGCGAATTTGCCAATCTTGGTGCTCTCTGGCAAATGCCAAACGTCCTGCACGGTGTTGGGCTGTAAGCACAACCCCCACCTGTGGATGTCGGGCCCTCATACCACCCTCATGGAGTCTGTTTCTGACCGTTTGAGCAGACACATGCACATTTGTGGCCTGCTGGAGGTCATTTTGCAGGGCTCTGGCAGTGCTCCTCCTGCTCCTCCTTGCACAAAGGCGGAGGTAGCAGTCCTTTTGCTGGGTTGTTGCCCTCCTACGGCCTCCTCCACGTCTCCTGATGTACTGGCCTGTCTCCTGGTAGCGCCTCCATGCTCTGGACATTACGCTGACAGACACAGCAAACCTTCTTGCCACAGCTCGCATTGATGTGCCATCCTGGATGAGCTGCACTACCTGAGCCACTTGTGTGGGTTGTAGACTCCGTCTCATGCTACCACTAGAGTGAAAGCACCGCCAGCATTCAAAAGTGACCAAAACATCAGCCAGGAAGCATAGGAACTGAGAAGTGGTCTGTGGTCACCACCTGCAAAACCAGTCCTTTATTGGGGGTGTCTTGCTAATTGCCTATAATTTCCACCTGTTGTCTATTCTATTTGCACAACAGCATGTGAAATGTATTGTCAATCAGTGTTGCTTCCTAAGTGGACAGTTTGATTTCACAGAAGTGTGAATGACTTGGAGTTACATTGTGTTGTTTAAGTGTTCCCTTTATTTTTTTGAGCAGTGTACTATTTTAGGCTTAGGGGCTAGGGTTAGGGTTACAATTAGGATTAGGAGTTAGGTTTAGGGGTTTCAGATTAAGGTTAGGGTTAGGTTTAGGGGTTAGGGAAAATAGGATTTTGAATGACAATCACTTTTTTGGTCCCCACAAGGATAGTAAAACAAATGTGTGTCTGTATTTGTGTGTTTATCAGTGTTTTCTCACGTTCAACAGTTCTGTGACCTTGTTCCCCCTATTACCCACAGATTGAGGAGGAGATGCTGTCTCTTCAGAATGAGCGCTCTGAGCGCATCCGCACCCTCCTGGAGCGGCAGGCCTGTGAGATCGAGTCCTTTGACTCTGAGAGCCTCCGTCTGGGTTTCAGCAACATGGCCCTCACGGGCATCCCCAGCGAGGCCTACCCCAAGCAGGGCTACACCAACGCCCCACCAGGGTTCCGCTCCGGTGGGGGCCACTGGAGCCATGGCATGCACGCCCAGCCCCAGCCGCACTCGCGCCGCAGCCACAACAGTAGTAGCGGTGGAGGGGGTGGGGGTGGTGGAGGGGGGAGCAGAGGGGAGTCTTCTTCTTCTCACGGCATGGCTCTGGGGTTGGGTCTGGGGAGGGATGGGAGGGAGGTGCATCCTTCATCTCGTTCGTCAGCCTCTTCTTCCTCTTCCTCCTCCCAACAACACCACCACCGTCATCACCTGCCGCAGCACTACCACCACCAAAGCACGCCCCAGCTCTACCGGGAGCGGGAAAGGGATAGAGAGAGGGAGCGGGAGAAGGAGAGGGACAGGGAGTGGGCCGGGGTCCGAGGCGGCGGCGACCTGGCCCACCCGCAGCACCCCCACCCCTTCTCCCACAACCTGCCCTCTCGCTCCTCCTCTCAGTCCCTGGCCCTGCTGCCGCCGCCGCCCCCCACGCCCCCCTCTATCTCGGGGCCCTCCTCGCAGGGAGGGGTGTATGGCGGGGGGCTGGTCGTCAGGGGCGGTCCCAGCCTCATGGCCCTGAGGAACAGCCCCCAGCCGCTGAGGAGGACGGCATCCGGAGGGGGACCCGGCGGGGCGGGTGGAGGCGATGGGGTGCTGAGCCGCAGCACCTCGGTCACCTCGCACATCTCCAACGGCTCCCACCTCTCCTACTCCTAAAGAGGGGGGAGGCGGTGGAGGGTGTTCACCTGAGAGAGAGCGGGCGGGGGGGGGGGGTAGACGGGTGGTTTTCACTTTGACTGGGAATGTAGCTACCTGTCTTACCATTGAAGTGGGTGAGGGAAAGGGATGGAGAGTGGGTGGTGTCTGTTCACTTTTTTCTGAGGTGAGGCAGGGGAAGGGGGGGGGGGGGGGGGGGGGGGGGGGGGGGTAGGGGCAGAGAAAGGTGGAGGTAGCCATGTCTTCTTCTATGATGTTCTATATTGGAATGGAGGAAGCAAGAGAATAGGTGGGAAAGTGCATGGAAAGGGAAGAGATAAAAACAACAGACCTGAATGTGAATGTATGTACAGTTGAAGTCGGAAGTTTACATACACCTTAGCCAAATACATTTAAACTCAGTTTTTCACAATTCCTGACATTTAATCCTAGTAAAAATTCCCTGTTTTATGTCAGTTAGGATCACCACTTTATTTTAAGAATGTGAAATGTCAGAATAATAGTAGAGAGAATGATTTATTTAAGCTTTTATTTCTTTCATCACATTCCCAGTGGGTCAGAAGTTTACATACACTCAATTAGTATTTGGTATCATTGCCTTTAAATTGTTTAACTTGGGTCAAACTTTTCGGGTAGCCTTCCACAAGCTTCCCACAATAAGTTGGGTGAATTTTGGCCCATTCCTCCTGACAGAGCTGGTGTCAGGTTTGTAGGCCTCCTTGTTCGCACACGCTTTTTCAGTTCTGCCCACAACTTTTCTATAGGATCGAGGTCAGGGCTTTGTGATGGCCACTCCAATACCTTGACTTTGTTGTCCTTAAGCCATTTTGCCACAACTTTGGAAGTATGCTTGGGGTCATTGTCCATTTGGAAGACCCATTTGTGACCAAGCTTTAACTTCCTGACTGAAGTCTTGAGATGTTGCTTCAATATATCCACATAATTTTCCTTCCTCATGATGCCATCTATTTTGTGAAGTGCACCAGTTCCTCCTGCAGCAAAGCACCCCCACAGCATGATGCTGCCACCCCCGTGCTTCACGGTTGCCTATCAGAAGCTTCTAAAGCCATGACATAATTTTCTGGAATTTTCCAAGCTGTTTAAAGGCACAGTCAACTTAGTGTATGTAAACTTCTGACCCACTGGAATTGTGATACAGTGAATTATAAGTGAAATAATCTGTCTGTAAACAATTGTTGGAAAAATTACTTGTGTCATGCACAAAGTAGATGTCCTAACCGACTTGCCAAAACACTAGTTTGTTAACAAGAAATTTGTGGAGAGGTTGAAAAACTAGTTTTAATGACTCCAAACTAAGTGTATGTAAACTTCCGACTTCAACTGTATGTAGTGTGATAATCTAGCAAGCACATGTGTTATATGGCTTCAGAAAGGGAAAAATGCTGGTTTTAGTCTGCATTCAAAGGTAGCTATTGTTCGAAACACATTTTATTGGTTTATAACAGTTATTTGTTGACATTGTTTTTTGTTTATTTTGTAGATGTGTTAAAAAAAAACAAGTGGCTGGGGAAGTCACCAATGCCTTTAAAAAGTCTTAAAGGGATGGTTTGATGACTACGAGAGAATTATGGCTGATGTAAATTAATATGAATACACAGAATGTTTAAAAAGGCAACAAACAGACTCGGTTTCATGCAAAATAATGAAAGAAAGACATTTGTGTGGACAATAAAATGTCCCAAAAAACGTTTCCGTCATCCATGACATACACTATATATACAGAAGTATGTGGACACCCCTTCAAATGAGTGGATTCGGCTATTTCAGCCACACCCGTTAATGACAGGTGTATAAAATCGAGCACACAGCCATGCAATCTCCGTAGAGAAACATTAGCAGTAGAATGGCCTTACTGAAGAGCTCAGTGACTTTCAACGTGGCACCGTCATAGGATGACACCTTTCCAACAAGTCAGTTCGTCACATTTCTGCCCTGCTTGAGCTCCCCCAGTCAGCTGTTATTGTGAAGTGGAAACATCTAGGAGCAACAACGGCTCAGCCGTGAAGAGGTAGGCCACACAAGCTCACAGAACTAGACCGCTGAAGCGCGTAGCGTGTAAAAATCGTCTGTCCTCGGTTGCAACACTCCCTACCGAGTTCCAAACTGCCTCTGGAAGCAACGTCAGTACAATAACTGTTCGTCAGGAGCTTCATGAAATGGGTTTCCATGGCCGAACAGCCTCACACAAGCCTAAGATCACCATGCGCAATACCAAGCATCGGCTGGAGTGGTGTAAAGCGCGCCAACATTGGACTCTGGAGCAGTGGAAACGCGTTCTATGGAGTGTTGAATCATGCTTCACCATCTGGCAGTCCGACGGCCGAATCTGGGTTTGGCGGATATCAGGAGAACGCTACCTGTCCAAATGCATAGTGCCAACTGTACAGTTTGGTGGAGGAGGAATAATGGTCTGGGGCTGTTTTTCATGGTTCGGGCTAGGCCCCTTAGTTCCAGTGAAGGGAAATCTTAACGCTACAGCATACAATAACATTCTAGACGATTCTGTGCTTCCAACTTTGTGGCAACAGTTTGTGGAAGGCCCTTTCCTGTTCCAGCATGACAATGCCCCCGTGCACAAAGCGAGGTCCATACAGAAATGTTTTGTCGAGATCGGTGTGGAAGAACTTGACTGGCCTACAGAGTCCTGACCTCAACCCCATCGAACACCTTTGGGATGAATTGGAACGCCAACTGCGAGCCAGGCCTAATCGCCCAACATCAGTGCCCGACCTCACTAATGCTCTTGTGGCTGAATGCAAGCAAGTCCCCGCAGCAATGTTCCAACAGTGGAAATCTAGTGGAAATCCTTCCCAGAAGAGTGGAGGTTGTTGTAGCAGCAAAGGGGGGACCAACTCCATATTAATGCCCTTGTTTTTAGAATGAGATGTTCAACAAGCAGGTGTCCATATAATTTTGGTGATGTAGTGTATTTATTATCTTTTAAAATGACATAGGTGTCCATGAGAGTCGCTCCAACGCATTATATAAATGTACAAAACATTTGTAAACATGACCAAAATCACATTTGAGATGTACAGTATTAGTTGTCCAAGTTTAACTGGTATTTAAAGACCAGTGCAGTCAGAAACGTGATTTTCCTGTGCTTTACACTGCAAAAAGTGAAATCTAAGCAAGCTTAAATATCTTATATTGAGTGATAATTTTACCTTCTTGAAAAATATCTTGAAATAAGTTAAATTACTTGTATTAAGACTTTTTTTAGGGTAAAATGAGCACAATTATCTGCCAATGATGTTAGAAAATTTTGCTTCGTAAGAAAAAACAAGAAAAATACATTAATTTTAAGTAAATTATCACTCAATGTAAGATATTTAGGCTTGCTTAACTTTCACTTTTTGCATTGTAGATATATTTCCACACTGAAGTTGGAATAATATTGTGAAAATTATGATAATGGCCTTTTAGTGTAAGACATGTTTGAAAAGACTGCCTGAGATTTCTGTTTGTTTTGTTTTGGTCACCAGACTGCAAATGAGTTAATAGACCAATAAGAAAGAGCGTTTCAAACCTCTCTGCCAAAAACTGCTAGTTTTCAGTTTTCCCCTCCCCGCTCAGACCACTCCCAGACAGTCCTAGCAAAATTCTTGCTTGAGAAATGGCTATTCTTGTTTCTTTTTGACCATTTTATTTGAAAACAATCACAGTAAGGTACTTCATTGTTACACAGAAATGATTTGATATTGAGATAAAAACAGCTGCATTGGACCTTTAAGATCACTAGCTGTCCCACTTTTTTTTTTTACCTTTATTGTAAATATTTAAGGGAATATAAAGACAAAAATGTCATCGGTTTTATAGAGTAATAATGACGACGATCATAGTAATTTTGATATATTCAAGTGAGTATTGAACCCAGGATTTAGACTAAGAAAGCATTTTCTATAGGTCAATATTACCATTACTAATCCATATATAGTTGTTGTAATCATGTACAAAAATGTGTTTTTATCTTGCAAGAAAAATGCCACTTTTGACTATGGGAAAGGTTGGAAATGTGTAAAAAATATATATACATGATGATATTTTTGTTGTTGTTGAATTGTCAGGTATGGTGTGTGTAACAGGTATTAATGATTATTAATAATAGCTTATTAATAATTGTTGATTTTTCATGTGTGTACATGTGTTGGTTGAGTGGTATACAGTCTAGTTATATTGCCACTTTTGTAGACAGACATTATTGCATTTTAAAAACACTTGTGTGACCTTTGTAAAAGGTCTGACCCCAATGAAAAGGAATGTGACATATCCAAAAGAAGCAACATTGGTTGACATGAACATTATTAACCTCTTCTGGATTGTTTATGTTCATTTGTTGGATTTTTTAATGAAAACGTTAGGTGAATTTTCTAGAGATTTCACGATGATGATGATTTATTCTACTGAGCCCACACATAATCTAGCATGAAGAACAACAAAATGGAGTTCAAAGATAAAGAATGGTGCACAATCTTAGATGATAATCTCGAAGTGCACACCATCATTGCAAGGTGCGAGCCACTTGTCAGTGAGCTTGTGCTGCAAGTTGAAGTAAGTTTTAAGGCTTTAAGGTTTTAAGGTTGTTAACCATTTGTGTAGTTAGGCCTACACTCACCAGGGCCATATTACTAAAATACTTAACTTCCCCTTTCTTAAAGGGGTTTGCCTCATTCAGTTAGGTAAGACTCTGTTTATATCTAGGGATTCTGAAATGCTGTACCTTTGAATAAAAAAGATCACCCTGTTTGTACAATCTCAAAAACACCAGCTTTGACAAGTCCCCTGTAGCCTAATACTTCATGCTTGGTTGAAATCTCAGTGCATGCAGGAAACTCCTTATATAAATTAGACTGGTGGGTTTTGATATGTGGATGGATGGTAGGTTTTACAATGGTAACGTAACATGCTAATTCATAGGTATTGGGGGGGGTGCGCAGTAGAGGGTGCTATCTAAATTTCTTAAGGTCTTGGAAATCATGATGGACATCAGGAAGAGGAGATCCCAATTCATTTGCCACAGAAATAGCTGGTTAGATGATGGTATGGACTGCTCTGTGTGGACTTGTACTGTATGGTTTGAAAACAGGACATTTTCAGTAAACATAGTTGAATATTCCAATCAGGCAATTCCAAGCTTGAAGAAAAAGAATAGGGGTCTTTAAAATGTGTTGAACAAGAGGGTAAAAGCAAAGTAATAAAACATTACAATTAAATGATATAAACATTGGTGTTCCTGTCTTTTAATTTTTTATATATATATATTACAATGTGCATTAATTTGCTTTGGCTTGAGTATATTCCCAAATTGATTGAAGGGTTATTTTTGTGATAATAGCATCCTGCATGTTTATGTAGCCTATACAAACCAAGAACCAGATAGGCTATCAAAACGTTCTCATATCCGGGAATTGTCGTGTCTAGTATAGCCTATGTTGTTATTGTCCTGGAGCTGTATATCTGACACTGCCATCCCCAGAATTGTGTCCGTGCGTCCCGCCCTTTAAGAGGCGCTTGTATGGAATGTTTTTCTCACCGTTTTCCTAGTACGCGTGCGCTGTGGCGGAGCTCTATATAGCAACGGCGGAGATCCATTTGTGATGGTCTGAAAAATACTGTAGTGTAATTTCTGTCGGCCGAAATCCCAAGTAGGCGGGGCAGAAAGGAAACGCTCTATGAACGAGACGGAAATGAAAGGGGGTGTCCGAAGATAAATCCGATCCCTTTTAGAGCAACTGGGACATAGCCGTGCGAGAAAAGGAGAGGAGGGGGAGAAGAAAGAGGAATTTAAAAAGAAAAGGAAGAAAGGGAGGGAGGAGGGAGAGCGAGCGATAAAAAAAGAAAGATGACATCCTCGCAATTGAACAGCCGAGGTGGAAAGATAGGCTGCGGCCCGGAGCGAGCGCTCTTTGCCAGGGTCAGGGCTTGAATCCAACAACGAGGCTTCGACAAACACCCGATTGGCCTATTGGGGGAAATCGGAAAAATAGATTAATAAATTAAAAAGCATGAACTGCTACTCTTTCAAATGCGTTTATTATAACACTGATAATAGTTAGCATTGTGCGTGAAATGCATTCATTTAATTTTCAGATCTAGCAATTATGTATGACTACGGCTATAGAAATAACATTGATTTCGTGCACACAGATATTTGGTTTGAAAGTCATCAATGCCAAGAGATGTGTTTTTTTAATCATTATGCTTTGCTAAATTAAAGTTAGAAACCAGAGTCAAAGAGAAATAGGCCACTATTGGAGCAGGCAATTCCACTCAGGCAGACAGCCTAGTCGTAACGCCTGCGTGAAAACGAATAGCTTGAATTAGTATATATTTTTTTTATATAGTTGCACGTCCCTTTCGGATGATCGATAGCATACTCTTCTTGCTGCATTTTAATACTGTCAACATAGATCTTCGCGCCTCAATCGCCAATAGGGTGATTAAACAATATGCAAACGATTCACTGTCGAATCGCAACCAGGATTACTTAACTGACTTTATACTCTTAAGTCAATTTGGTTCAAAATGGATGCTGCTTGGAGCAATTTTCTCTTCCAGGTAAGTCTTAATTGACCTTCTTCGTTGTCGTGTTTGTGTACGCGCTTTTCTGAAGAAGGGCTTTTGAAGAATTTGTGTCCCACAGCTCCGGGGCCTGCACATTTATGTGACGCAAAGTAGCATCTAGTCTAGACCAGTGGTTCCCAACCAGGGGTACTAGGACCCCTGGGAGTACTTGGGCTATCCACAGGGGGTACTTGAGAAGACTCATGAGATAATAGCCTTACTGGTAAAATGCAAATGAGGGGGTACTTCAGGGGTACTCCTGGCAGAGCAAAATTCTGTTGGTGGTAGACAATGCAGTGACTTTCTGCTAATGGCCCTATGTTTATTTCTCCAGACTACTCCCACCCAAAACCAAGTGGAGGGGACCCTCCAATCAGAACTCTTACCAGTCCATACTGCCTCTCCTCAGACCCCTCCCACAGAGAACATAGCCCAGCCTCCTTCCACGGTGGACACTGCTGCCCTCAATGAAGAACCCTTACCTGGTGAGAGAATCATGGGTTGTGAAATACATAGAAATACTATTGCTTTTTCAGCATTTATCCGCAATTAAGTTGAAAAGGATGTAATGTAGATTGCTAAACAAGATGTCTATTATACTGTTATAAGCATAATATGATACGTTAGGCTGTCTTCATACCATAATATTTAGAATGTATAAGGATATTATTATTAATTAGCATTTCCCTGTCTTCATTTCTCATTCCCTCTCTTCTTCCGCTCTTTCGTCCTACAGTGAAGACAACGTCCCGGCCTGCCCGTGTGCCACACATCTGTGCCATATGCAGCAAGCAGTTCAAGAACAACTACAACCTGCGGCGGCACCAGTCGGTCCACACCGGGGTACGCATGAGGCGAGCAGGAGCAGGGGAGCAGGAGGAGGGGGCGAAGGAGGCTGGCGCTGGGCCGGCGCAGGCGTTGTCGGGAGGGAGGGCGGAGAGGCATACGGTCCCCCTCTCCCTGCTCCACCTCTCCGTTCCTCCCCCTCTCCCCCCTCCCAGCATGCTGGCATCCCAGCAGCCAGCTCTGGGTAGTCAGGATGGCGAAGGGGTTGCCATGGCGAGCGTAGTGGCTAGCATTAACCCCCATGCTCCTCCTGCTGCTGTCGTCATGGCGGCGGGGGCGACAGTACAGGTGGGTCATGGCGCTTCTGGAGGTTGTTGTTGTCGTCCGTGAAAAAGAAAAGTAGAATTTAGGTTCCTCTTGCATGGTCTTTATGGAGATTGTGGGAAAGCCTTACTTTCAATAAAGGGAATTCAGCATGTTATGCAAATGGCCCAGATAAATTATCTAGGTGTCGCGAGCCATGTGTGTCTGCGTGGTTCAGAAAGACACAAAGAGGCGACAATATAATATGTCAATAATCTACACAGATGCATGTGTAATTATCGACTACTACAATACATAAAAAACAATGTTTGTACTGTAAGCGCGTCTCTTTCTACTCATCCCCCCCAGCGGCCATCGAACCCCAACCCGAACCCCGTGCGGAAGAACCACGCCTGTGAGACGTGCGGGAAGGCTTTCCGAGACGTGTACCATCTAAACCGACACCGTCTCTCCCACTCGGACGAGAAACCCTTCTCCTGCCCCATCTGCCAGCAGCGGTTCAAGAGGAAGGACCGCATGAGCCACCACGTGCGCTCTCACCAAGGCGGCGTGGAGAAACCCTATGTGTGCCCCCACTGTGCCAAGGCTTTCTCCAGGTGAGAGTGGCACACTATAGGCCAGAGAGCAGGGTCGTGTTCATTAGGCCAGAGAGCAGGGTCATGTTCATTAGGGCAGGCAACATAATTATTTCTTTCAGATAGTACCTCTCCCTCTGACTGCATTTTTAGGGCAGTTTTCTTCTGCTTTGTGCCTCAGTGATACACTGTGCTTAAAGGGGCAATCAAATATATGATACACTATACTTTGCATTCGGGAAGTATTCAGACCCCTTGACTTTTTCCACATTTTGTTACGTTACAGCCTTATTCTTCTAAAATGGATTCAATAATTTCCCCCCCTCATCAATCAACACACAATACCCCATAATGACACCAGTTTTTAAAATTTGTTTTGCAAATGTATTACAAATGAAAAATAGAAATACCTTATTTACATAAGTATTCAGACCCTTTGCTATGACACTCGAAATTGAGCTCCGGTGCATCCTGTTTCCATTGATCATACTTGAGATGTTTCTACAACTTGATTGGAGTCCACCTGTGGTAAATTCAATTGATTGGACATGACTTGGAAAGGAACACACCTGTCTAGAAGGTCCCACAGTTGACAGTGCATGTCAGAGCAAAAATCAAGCCATGATGTCGAAGGAATTGTCTGTAGAGCTCCGAGACAGGATTGTGTCGACTCACAGATCTGGGGAAGCGTACCAAAACATTTCTGTGCATTGAAGGTCCTCAAGAACACAGTGGCCTCCATCATTCTTAAAAGGAAGACGTTTGGAACCACCAAGACTCTTCCTAGAGCTGGCCGCCTTCTCCCCCTGAGCAATCGGGTAGAGAAGGGCCTTGGTCAGGGAGGTGACCAAGAACTCGATGGTCACTGGCAGAGCAACAAAGTTCCTCTGTGGAGATGGGACAACCATCTCTGCAGCACTCCACCAATCAGGCCTTTATGGTAGAGTGGCCAGATGGAAGCCACTCCTCAGTAAAAGGCATATGACAGCCCGCTTGGAGTCTGCCAAAAGGCACCTAAAGGACTCTCAGTCCATGAGAAACAAGATTCTCTGGTCTGATGAAACCAAGATTGAACTCTTTGGCCTGAATGCCAAGCTTCACGTCTGGAGGAAACCTGGCACCATCCCTATGGTTAGGCATGGTGGTGGCAGCATTGTGCTGTGGGGATGTTTTTCAGCGGCAGGGACTGGGAGACTAGTCAGGATCGAGGGAAAGATGAACGGAGCAAAGTACAGAGAGATCCTTGATGAAAACCTGCTCCAGAGCACTCAGGACCTCAGACTGGGGCGAAGGTTCACCTTCCAACAGGACAATGACCCTAAGCACACAGCCAAGACAACGCAGGAGTGGCTTCGGGACAAGTCTCTGAATGTCCTTGAGGGGCCCAGCCAGAGCCCGGACTTGAACCCAATCGAACATCTCTGAAGAGACCTGAAAATAGCTGTGCAGCGACGCTCCCCATCCAATCTGACAGAGCTTGAGAGGATTGGCAGAGAAGAATGGGAGAAACTCCCCAAATATAGGTGTGCCAAGCTTGTAGCGTCTTACCCAAGAAGACTCGAGGCTGTAATCGCTGGCAAAGGTGCTTCAACAAAGTACTGAGTAAAGGGTCTGACTACTTACTTAAATGTCATATTTCCGTTTATTTTTTATTTTTTTACATTTGCAAAAATTTCTAAAAACCTGCTTTTGCTTTGTCATTATGGGGTATTGTGTGTAGATTGATGAGGGGAAAAAACTATTTAATCAATTTTAGAATAAGGCTGTAACGTAACAAAATGTGGAAAAAGTCAAGGGGTCTGAATACCTTCCGAATGCACTGTATATACAAAAGTATGTGGACACTCCTTCAAATTTGTGGATTAGGCTATTTCAGCCACATCTGTTGCTGACAGGTGTATACAATCTAGCACACAGCCATGCAATCTCCATAGACAAACATTGGCAGTAGAATGGCCTTACTGAAGAGCTCGGTGACTTTTAACGTGGCACCGTCCTAGGATGCCACCTTTCCAACAAGTCAGTTTGTCAAATTTCTGCCCTGCTAGAGCTGCCCTGGTCAACTGTAAGTGCTGTTATTGTGAAGTGGAAACGTCTAGGAGCAATAACAGCTGAGCCGCGAAGTCGTAGGCAACACAAGCTCACAGAACGGGACCGCCAGGTGCTGAAGCACGTAGCACGTAAACATCGTCTGTCCTCGGTTGCAACACTCACTACCGAGTTCCAAACTGCCTCTGGAAGCAACGTCAGCTCAAGAACTGTTCATAGGGAGCTTCATGAAATGGGTTTCCAAGGCCGATCAGCCGCACACAAGCCTAAGATCACCATGCGCAATGCCAAGCGTCGGCTGGAGTGGCGTAAAGCTCGCTGCCATTTGATTCTGGAGCAGTGGAAACGCGTTCTCTGGAGTGATGAATCACGCTTCACCAGTCTGACAGCCCGAATGCATAATGCCAACTGTAAAGTTTGGTGGAGGAGGAATAATGGTCTGGGGCTGTTTTTCATGGTTTGGGCTAGGCCCCTTAGTTCCAGTGAAGGGGAATCTTAACGCTACAGCATACAATGACATTCTAGACGATTCTGTGCTTCCAACTTTGTGGCAACAGTTTGGGGAAGGCCCTTTCCTGTTTCAGCATGACAATGCCCCCGTGCACAAAACGAGGTCCATACAGAAATGGTTTGTCGAGATCGCTGTGGAAGAACTTAACTGGCCTGCACAGAGCCCTGATCTCAACCCCATCGAAAACCTTTGGGATGAATTGGAACGCCGACTGCGAGACAGGCCTAATCGCCCAACATCAGTTTCCGACCTCACTAATGCTCTTGTGGCTGAATGGAAGCCACAAAAAGTCAATGTAAACAAACACTATATAGCCTCAAAACATACTTTTTATATCATGGATGGTCAGTCCTTGCATCCATAGCTCTGTCTATGAATTTGAGAGTGGTTACATTTCTCCAGATCCATCCCTCAGCATTTTACCGAAACAGGGGTGGGGAAAACAGTTTATTGTTTCTACTGCTGATTGCTGCTTTAAAGGAACATTACATTCCAAAATCAAAAGTAGTCGAGATAAGTCCACATCCCATGCCATTGGTTGTGTCGATGAATGGAAATTGTAAGCACCGAAAATATGGAAATTACTTATAGCTTATCTTTTTCATTCATAATGGTTTGTGGCACTTGCGAAAGTATTCACCCCCCTTGGCATTTTTCCTATTTTGTTGCCTTACAACCTGGAATTAAAATGGATTTTTTGGGGGGATTGTATCATTTGATTTACACAACATGCCTACCACTTTGAAGATGCAAAATATTTTTTTTTGTGAAACAATCAAGAAATAAGACAAAAAAACTACTTGAGCGTGCATAACTATTCACCCCCCCAAAGTCAATACTTTATAGAGCAATCTTTTGCAGCAGTTACAGCTGCAAGTCTCTTGGGGTATGTCTCTATAAGCTTGGCACATCTAGAACACCAAACGTGTTTGCTTATTTTATTCTTTAAGCAATTGCTTTTTTCTGGCCACTCTTCCGTAAAGCCCAACTCTGTGGAGTGTACGGCTTAAAGTGGTCCTATGGACAGATACTCCAATCTCTGCTGTGGAGCTTTGCAGCTCCTTCAGAGTTATCTTTAATCAGAGAGGCAACAAAGAGACCAATGCTCTCCTTGCCTGGTCTGTGAGCTTTGGTGGGTGGCCCTCTCTTGGCAGGTTTGTTGTGGTGCCATATTTCAATTTTTTTATAATGGATTTAATGGTGCTCCGTGGGATGTTCAAAGTTTCTGATATTTTTTTATAACCCAACCCTGATCTGTACTTCTCCACAACTTTGTCCCTGACCTGTTTGGAGAGCTCCTTGGTCTTCATGGTGCCGCTTGCTTGTTGGTGCCCTTTGCTTAGTGGTGTTGCAGACTCTGGGGCCTTAGAACAGGTGTGTATATATATACTGAGATCATGTGACAGATCATGTGACACTTAGATTGCACACAGGTGGACTTTATTTAACTAATTATGTGACTTCTGAAGGTAATTGGTTGCACCAGATCTTATTTAGGGGCGAATACATATGCACGCACCACTTTTCCGTTATACATTTTTTGATACAAGTTATATTTTTCATTTCACTTCACCAATTTGGACTATTTTGTGTAAGAAATCCCAATACAAATCCATTTAAATTACAGGTTGTAATGCAACAAAATAGGAAAAACGCCAAGGTGGATGAATACTTTTGCAAGGCACTGTAGCTGTATCTACACAACACATGGCCTGGGACTTGAACTTATCTCAATAGAAGACCTCTTGCGGTGTAAAAACATCGGACAAAGTTTGTGTCCACATTTTTTGCTGGAGAAAGTCTATAACAAGGTATTTGTTGTCTTACCCCTTTCTATCTCTCACTTCTTTCAGGCCTGACCATCTCAACAGTCATGTCAGACAAGTTCACTCATCTGAACGACCCTTCAAGTGTCCGGTACTTGATGTTTGTGCTACTTTATATCCTTTTACACCTCTCATATCTCAATACAGTCATTCTTAGACATATATTTGTTTCTCTGTACCTTAAATCCTTCGTACCATAACTATCCATTGTAATACAATCGGGATTGGGATCAATTCCATTTAAATTCAGGAAGTAAACCAAAATTCCAATTTGAGTTTACTTCCTGAATTGACTGAATTGAAATGGAATTGACCCCAACCCTGAATTAAATACAATGAGAGATTGTTTTGCTATTAAACTGCTGCCTTCTGTGTCTTTATTGATAACCAGTCATTCCTCATCACTCTCGATGTGTTTAGACGTGCGAGTCCAGCTTCGCCACGAGGGACCGGCTACGTGCTCATATGATCCGCCACGAGGAGAAGGTACCGTGCCACATCTGCGGCAAGCTCCTGTCGGCTGCCTACATCACCGATCACATGAGGGTGCACAACCAATCGCAGCACCACTCCTGCCATATCTGTAACCGCAGTGAGTGTCTGTCAACACCTCGTATTGTTTGATGAAAGGGTTCACAAATAGTTTATAAGATGTTAATAAATGTTTCACGGCCTCCCGAGTGGCACAGCAGTCTAAGGCACTGCGTCGCAGTGGTTGGGGCGTCACTACAGACCCGGGTTCGATCCCAGGCTGTGTCACAGCCGGCCGTGACCGGGAGACTCATGAGGTGGCGCACAATTAGCCCAGCGTTGTCCAGGTTAGGGGAGGGTTTGACCGGCCGGGATTTCCTTGTCCCATTGTGTTCTAGCGACTCCTTGTGGCGGGCCGGGCGCCTGCAGGCTGACTTCGGTCGCCAGCTGGACGGTGTTTCCTCCGACACATTGGTGCAGCTGGCTTCCGGGTTAAGCAAGCAGTGTGTCAAGAAGCAGTGCGGCTTGGCAGGGTCATGTTTCGGAGGACGCATGGCTCTCTCCCGAGTCCGTAAGGGAGAAAAAGGGGTAAAAGTACAAAATTATATATATAAATAAATAACCAAACATTTAGAGTTTAAGTGGTTTATAAGATGTTAATAAACATTCAAAGTTAATAAATGGTTAATAAACATTTGTCAAGTACTGAGTCAAGTCCTGGCACACACACACTTTGTAAATAAATAACATTAACCGCTAACTCTCTCCGTCTCCTCCAGGCTTCACCACTCTGACCTACCTGCGCGTCCACGCCCAAAAGCACCACGGCCAGGAGTGGAAGGAGAGTGCTGGTGGCTTCGGCGGCATGGGCTCAAGTGGTGTTCTTGTGTGCCAGCTGTGCGGGGTGCACTGCAAGACCCCCACCCAGCTGCAGGGCCACATGGGCACCCACAGTACTGGGGGCCAAGGTGGCTCCTCCGGCCCTGTTACCTCTAGCGGGGCGTCCAGCTCTTCCGTGTCCCTCAGCAACATGGTGTCTGCCCCGACCGTCTACGTCAGCAGCAACGCAGTGGTGGACCTGCTGGTGTCGGACTGCTCCAGCATCCAACCTCAGTCCCACAGTTAGCAGAGCAGAGCCGCAGTTTAACCTCAGCCACTTGAGTCCCTAAGTCCCGTAGTGAGAGGTTAGGAGGCTTGCTTAGGGGAGAGCCACAGTTAAAACTTTGGCCCCTCTAAGTCCCACAGCTAGAGGAAAAATGGGGGAAATGGACAGAGGGGTCTGGCTTAGGGGAGAGAAAGAGGCAGAGAGAAAGTATGTGAGAATAGTGTGGAGAGAGGATGAGGTGGACATTGTATGTCCTGTACGCTGATTTGATGACGCTAGATAACGACAAATACGGACATGAGTGTCCTCAACGTGGCTGAACTCTCACGCTTTCAGGACTCCTATGACACTGTGGACTTGTCTACTCTATCCCTCTCCCTCCCTCAGTCCCAGCAACTACTCCCCTCTGCTAGTAATGCACCATGTACTGTAACTCAATGTCAGTCTCACCAACCACCTCTCATTTTGCCTCCGTTTTGTCGCTCTCTTCTCCAAACATTCATAAGATAGCCTTGTAGTAAGTTGGGGAATTATTTAAAGGAGTAATAGGAAAATGATATAACAAAGGGGTGTGTAGAAGAGTGTATTCTGAAAGAATGAGATGTTCAGGGGGTGAATTGCACATAACAAGTCAGGGGCTGCTACCCTCCAGAAATGAACAGGAGTAGACGCGACGTTTTAATTGCGTAATGCTGTAATCATAGAGCATATGGATGTAGTCTGTTTTAAATAGGGCCAACGCTGGATCTGGAAGTTAGCCCATACCCACTGGGCACACACTGGTTGAATCAACGTTGTTTCCACGTCATTTCAATGAACCAATGTGGAATAGACGTTGAATTGATGTCTGTGCCCAGTGGGTACTGTATTGGTGATTATGCACAGTGGAGGGGTGTAACTACATTGATTTGTTTCAGGTACAGTAGAGCGAGAAAACAATTGGCAAAGTTGAGTTCAGGAGTGTCAAGCACCTTAAAAATGTTGACGTTTAATCCGCTGAAGGCTCAGACTGGTTTCGTAAAGATGCATTTGCTCTGCGTCTTCCTCTTTGGGCACAACCACATTTAATACATACTGGAGATTCTTATTACTGCTACTGTATAGCCACATTCATGACACAGTTCACTGACACCTCAAAAACACAATTTGCATTAAAGTGAAGCTAGCTAAGACTACCTACAAGAAAGTTAGCAGCAGTCCCCCTTACGCTAGAGATGGTTGAAAACAAGTATTTTAAGAAAGTATCGATTGATTCAGTCAAATGAATTGTACCCATGTCTGCCATTTTATTTCTTTGTAACTGTTATTGCCATAGTGTTCTTAGTTGTTCCTTGAACGAATCCACCGTATTAAAACTCATTCATTAACACCACCATCTATAGCACACAGCATTCTGAACACAACTTATATTATGACTTACAGCTCTCCATGAATCTGAGGAGAAAGATCACCTTTCCTCAGATATCTTTGGTTGTTTGGTGGTTAAGAGTGATGTCATGGAAGGGCTTTAAAGGTTGTGTCGAGATAAGTATATCCAGGAACTTTATACTACTAGCGTTCGATGGCCCACCCCTGGTATGCTTTCAACAAATCCTGTTTTTGTTCTGGAGTGCTTCATTTAATCAGTTTAGTGTCAGTATGTTATATTTTAAAAAATGCTTAGAATTATTTAATTTGGAGACTTGTTCTTCCTGTTGAGAAAAGTAGTGATTTATGAAAGTTATTTTAGGTTTCCCGCATTAAGCAACAAAAAAATAATACCTCTATTCTAGGAACCTGTACAGCTCTTGTGATACATCGTAATGCCTTATTGTACTCAACTGCATTTTAATTATTTTATTCTGAACTATTTTAAATCTTAGTCATGGATTCATTAAGAATACTAATGGGATGTATTTATTATTATATTTTTATATTTCTCAACCGTATGCATGTCTATGAACAGTTAGAGCAAAAAAACAGTTGATGCTTACCATGATCATGAATATTATGTTATTATTTTGTAGATGAAGCATAGAGATCATGTTATTATTTTGTAATTTTGACTATTAAAAGTAAAAGGAGTAAACACATGAGGTGAGGTGTGTCCATTATTTATCTGTGTGTGTGTCACATGCTTGAGAGAGAAAGTGTTTGGATTTTGTGTCAGATAAGGTGCAGTGAAAATGGTGGGTGGTGGCATGCAGCTGGTAACACAGTGTGTGTGTGTTGGTATCTCTGACTTGTAAAATATGTTACGTGTGAGATGAGCATGTAACCTTGACCCCTCTGTGTTGTGTAATCGTATTTTGCTCTGGCTCCTGTGCGTGTGTTGCTGCACACTAAGTAATACCTCTGCACCGATACTAATAATAATCATGATGAAATGTACAGTCCCTACAATAGTATATCTCTATTTTACTGGAAATGGAAGAGCATGTGACCTTATTACTGTGAACATCTGGTCCTTTCTAAACCAATATTAACATGTGTATTTTCTGACAGATATAAATGGGTGTAAACAAGGGTTTCTTCCCCATTCTCGTCTGAAGAGGTCTTCCTATATATTTGTGGAATACTTATTATTTTTTGATGCAGTTTGCAAACTGTCCCCATATTGTATTTTATTCATAATATTGTAATCTTTTTTTTTTTTACAAAGTAGTACTTGTTGATAATATTCCTATGAGATATTTCATCCCATCTCCAGACCGTCTTGATTTATTTTGCACTATCCACCTTTACAAATTGTACATCACCATTTTTAGGTACAGTCAGGTCCATAAGTATTTGGACAGTGACACAATTTGCATCATTTTGGCTCCGTACGCCACCACAATGGATTTGAAAGGAAACAATCAAGAAGTGCTTTAAGTGTAGACTTTCATCATTAATTTAAGGGTTTTGTCAAAATTATTGCATGAACCGTGTAGGAATTATGAAATTTTTTATACATAGCCCCCCAAGTTTAGGGGCTCAAAAGTAATTGGACAAACTAACAATCATAAATTAAATTGTGAGTTTTAATACTTGGTTGCAAATCCTTTGCAGTCAATGACTGCCTGAAGTCTGGAACCCATAGACATCACCAGATGCTGGGTTTCTTCCTTGGCAATGCTCTGCCTTTACTGCAGCTGTCTTCAGTTCCTGCTTGTTCTTGGGGCGTTTTGCCTTCAGTTTTGCCTTCAGCAAGTGAAATGCATGCTCAATTGGATTCAGGTCAGGTGATTGACTTGGCCATTGCAGAACGTTCCACTTCTTTGCCTTAAAAAAGTATTGGGTTGCTTTCGCAGTATGCTTCTGGTCATTGTCCATCTGCACTGTGAAGCGCCGTCCAATGAGCAGATAATATAGCCCTAAACACTTCGGAATTCATCCTGCTGCTTTTGTCAGCAGTCACATCATCAACAAATACAAGGGAACTCGTTCCATTGGCAGCCATACATGCCCACGCCATTACACTACCTCCACCATGCTTCACAGATGAGGTGGTATGCTTTGGATCAAGAGCAGTTCCTTCCCTTCTCCATACTCTTCTCTTCCCATCATTATGGTACAAGTTGATCTTTGTCACATCTGTCCATAGGAGGTTGTTCCAGAACTGTAAGGCTTTTTTAGATGTTTTTTGGCAAACTCTAATCTGGTCTTCCGGTTTTTGAGGCTTACCAATGGTTTACATCTTGTGGTAAACCCTCTGTATTTACTCTGGTGAAGTCTTCTCTTGATTGTTGACTTTTACACAGATACGACAACCTCCTGGAGGGTGTTCTTGATCTGGCCAACTGTTGTGAAGGGGTTTTTCTTCACCAGGGAAATAATTATTCTGTCATCCACCACAGTTGTTTTCCGTGGTCTTCCGGGCCGTTTGGTGTACCTGAGCTCACCAGTGTGTTCTTTCTTTTTAAGAATGTACCAAATAGTTGATTTGGCCACACCTAATGTTTTTGCTATCTCTCTGATAGGGTTGTTTTGATTTTTCAGCCTAATGATGGCTTGCTTCACTGGCAGTGACCGCTCTTTGGACTTCATATTGAGGGTTAACAGCAACAGATTCCAAATGCAAATGCCACACTTGAAATAAACTCTAGACCTTTTATATGCTTACTTGTAAATTAACTAATGAGGGAATAACACACACCTGGCCATGGAACAGCTGAGCAGCCAACTGTCCAATTACTTTTGGTTCCTTAAAAAAAGTATATATAAAAAGTGCTGTAATTCCTACACCGTTCACCCGATTTGGATGTAAATACCCTCATTATTTAATTTAAACTCCAATATGCTGTGGTAGACAGCTAAAATAATAACTTGGTCAATGTCAAAATATTGATGGACCTGACTGTATATCTCTCCATTCTCAAAATGTTCCACTGCACCTGGAAGGCAACTGTGAAATTGTTCCCGGGGCAGTTATCATTCGACAGACCTGCTGGACTGTCGAACACCAATTATTGGTGACCAAAGTGAATATGCTAACCATTCAATACAAGGAACTTTTATTTTCCTGTGAGGAAACTTTTTTTTATGGAGTTACAGTTCATACTGTACAAGCAAACCCTAAACACAAACAGGACATAAAAATAAAAAAAATTTAAGTGCCGCTCTCCATGGTGCTGGCTATAGACAAGCCATATGCTGTGCTCATTAAGCACTGTCCAGAACACTGGCACATGAGGCTTCTTTGCAACGCAAGTTCATGGTCAGACTCAGCATCAGTTTTTTTGGGGCACACACAATGAACTAAGATGATATGCAGAACCACATCCATATAGAGATAATTTGCAGGCAACCCCAGGAACCACCCCAGACATATGTAAACAACGTTTACTTTCCAAAAGGTTCCCTCAGGGGACCATGGCTCTAGGCCCCCCAACTCGTTCAAAATGTGATTGATTATCAATACTGGAGATGTTATACAGCCCTCACCATATAAATTTGGAAAGTGAACCTAACATTTTAAATTTGACTCTATAGTCCAGCATTTTGGATTTGTTTCATATGAGGTGACAGTACAGAATGTCACCTTTTATTTCAGGGTATTT